AGGCAATATAGGCAAGGAAAATGTCTTTTACGATATTCTAGAACGAAAAAACGTTTTCCTAGGCTATAAAAACAAGAAGCTCAAAAAGTCCAAAAATTGACATTTTTCCAAAGGGGTTAACCCATGGTCTTGGTCTAAAAATGGCCATTTTTTAAAACTCTTTTTTTGGGCAATATAGGCCAGGGAAACGTCTTTTACGATATTCTAGAACAAAAAAACGCCTTTCTAGGCTATAAAAACAAGGAGTTCAAAACGTCGAAAAATTGACATTTTTCCAAAGGGGTTAACCAATGGTTTTGGTCCAAAACTGGCCATTTTTAAACCTTTTCTTTTGTGGCAATATAGGAAAGGAAAATGTCTTTTACGATATTCTAGAACGAAAAAACGCCTTTTTAGGCTATAAAAACAAAAAGTTGAAAAAGTCGAAAAATTGACATTTTTCCAAACGGGTTAACCCATGGTTTTGGTGCAAGAATAGCCATTTTTTTAAACTTTTTTTCTTAGGCAATATAGGCCAGGAAAATGTCTTTTACGATATTCTAGAACGAAAAAACGCCTTTCTTGGGTATAAAAACAAGAAGTTCAAAAGTGGAAAAATTGACATTTTTCCAAAGGGGTTAACCCATGGTTTTGGTCCAAAAATGGCCATTTTTCAACCTTTTCTTTTGAAGCTATATATGAAAGGAAAATGTCTTTTACGATATTCTAGAAGAAAAAAACGCCTTCCTAGCCTATAAAAACAAGAAAATAAAAAAGTGGAAAAATTGACATTTTTCCAAAGGGGTTAACCCATGATTTTGGTCTAAAAATGGCCATTTTTTTAAGCTCTTTTTTCTAGGCAATATAGGCCAGGAAAATGTCTTTTACGATATTCTAGAACAAAAAAACGCCTTTCTAGGCTATAAAAACAAAAAGTTTAAAAGGTCGAAAAATTGACATTTTTCCAAAGGGGTTAACCCATGGTTTTGGTCCAAAAGTGGCCATTTTTTGAAACTTTTTTTTTTAGGCAATATAAGCAAGGAAAATGTCTTTTACTATATTCTAGAGCGAAAAAACGCCTTTCTAGGCTATAAAAACAAAAAGTTCAAAAAGTCGAAAAATTGACATTTTTCCAAAGGGGTTAACCCATGGTTTTGGTCCAAAAATGGCCATTTTTCAACCTTTTCTTTTGAAGCTATATATGAAAGGAAAATGTCTTTTACGATATTCTAGAAGGAAAAAACGCCTTCCTAGGCTATAAAAACAAGAAAATAAAAAAGTAGAAAAATTGGCATTTTTCCAAAGGGGTTAACCCATGATTTTGGTGTAAAAATGGCCATTTTTTTTAAGCTCTTTTTTCTAGGCAATATAGGCCAGGAAAATGTTTTTTACGATATTCTAGAACAAAAAAACGCCTTTCTAGGGTATAAAAACAAGAAGTTCAAAACGTCGAAAAATTAACATTTTTCCAAAGGGGTTAACCCATTGTTTTGGTCCAAAAATGGCCATTTTTTAACCTTTTCTGTTGAGGCAATATAGGCAAGGAAAATGTCTGTTACGATATTCCAGAACAAAAAAAACGCCTTTCTAGGCTATAAAAACAAGAAGTTCAAAAAGTCCAAACATTGACATTTTTTCAAAGGGATTAACTCATGGTTTTGGTCTAAAAATGGCCATTTTTTTAAACTCTTTTTTTTAGGCAATATACGCCATGAAAATGTCTTTTACGATATTCTAGCACGAAAAAACGCCTTAGTAGGCTATAAAAACAAAAAGTTTAAAAGGTCGAAAAATTGACATTTTTCCAAAGGGGTTAACCCATGGTTTTGGTCCAAATGTGGCCATTTTTTGAAACTTTTTTTTTTAGGCAATATAAGCTAGGAAAATGTCTTTTACTATATTCTAGAGCGAAAAAACGCCTTTCTAGGCTATAAAAACAAAAAGTTCAAAAAGTCGAAAAATTGACATTTTTCCAAAGGGGTTAACCCATGGTTTTGGTCCAAAAATGGCCATTTTTCAATTTCTTCTTTTAAGGAAATATTGGCCAGGAAAATATCTTTTAAGATATTCTAGAACGAAAAAACGCCTATCTAGGCTACAAATACAAGAAGTTCAAAACGTCGAAAAATTCACATTTTTCCAAAGGGGTTAACCCATGGTTTTGGTCCAAAAATGGCCATTATTCAACCTTTTCTTTTGAGGCAATATGGGCAAGGAAAATGTCTTTTACGATATTCTAGAACGTAAAAACGCTTTTCTAGGCTATAATAAAAGGAGTTCGAAAAATGGTAAAATTGACATTTTTCCAAACGGGTTAACTCAGGGTTTTGGTTTAAAAATGGCAATTTTTCAACCTTTTCTTTTGAGGCAATATAGGCAAGGAAAACGTCTTTTACGATATTCTAGAACGAAAAAACGCCTTTCTAGGCTGTAAAAACAAGAAGTTCAAAAAGGTGAAAAATTGACATTTTTCTAATGGGGTTAACCCATGGTTTTGGTCTAAAAATGGCCATTTTTAGGCAATATAGGCCAAGAAAATGTTTTTTACGATATTCTAGAAAGAAAAAATGCCTATCTAGGCTATAAAAACAAAAAGTTAAAAACGTCGAAAAATTGACATTTTTTCTAATGGGTTAACCCCAAGCTAAGAAAATATGTTTTACGATATTCTGGAACGAAAAAACGCGTTTCTAGGCTATAAAAACAAAAAGTTCAAAAAGTCGAAAAATTGACATTTTTCCAAAGGGGTTAACCCATGGTTCTGGTCCAAAAACAGCCATTTTTTTAAACTTTTTTTCTTAGGCAATATTGGCCAGGAAAAAGTCTTTTACTATATTCTAGAACGAAAAAACGCCTTTCTAGGCTATAAAAGCAAGAAGATCAAAAAGCCGAAAAATTGACATTTTTCCAAAGGGGTTAACCCATGGTTTTGGTCCAGAAATGGCCATTTTTCAATTTTTTCTTTTGAGGTAATATAGAACAGGAAAATATCTTTTAAGATATTCTAGAACGAAAAAACGCCTCTCTAGGCTATAAAAACAAGAAGATCAAAAAGCCGAAAAATTGACAATTTTCCAAAGGGGTTAACCCGTGGTTTTGGTCCAAAAATGGCCATTTTTCAACTTTTTCTTTTAAGGCAATACAGGCAAGGAAAATGTCTTTTCTAGGCTATAAAAACAAATAGTTTAAAAAGGCGAAAAATTGACATTTTTCCAAAGGGGTTAAGCCATGGTTTTGGTCCAAATATGGCCATTTATTCAAAGCTTTTTTTTTAGGCAATATAAGCTAGGAAAATATCTTTTACGATATTCTGGAACGAAAAAACGCCTTTGTAGCCTATAAAAACAAGAAGTTCAAAAAGTCCAAAAAGTTAAATTTTTCCAAAGGGGTTAACCTATGGTTTTGGTCCAAAAAGTTAAATTTTTCAACCTTTTCTTTAGAGGCAATATAGGCCAGGAAATTGTCTTGTACGATATTCTAGAACGAAAAAACGCCTTTCTAGGCTATAAAAACAAGAAGTTCAAAGTCCAAAAGTTGACATTTTTCCAAAGGGGTTAACCCATGGTTTTGGTCCAAAAATGGTCATTTTTCAACCTTGTCTTTTGAGGCAATATAGGCCAGGAAAATATCTTTTACGATATTTTAGAACGAAAAAACGCCTATCTAGGCTATAAAAACAAAAAGTTCAAAACGTTGAAAAATTGACATTTTTTCCCGAAGGGGTTAACCAATGGTTTTGGTCCAAAAATGGCCATTTTTCTAAGTTTTTTTTAGGCAATATAGGTCAGGAAAATGTCTTTTACGATATTCTAGAAAGAAAAAACGCTTTTCCAGGCTATAAAAGGAAGAAGTTTTAAAAGTCGAAAAATTGACATTTTCGCAAAGGGGTTAACCCATGGTTTTGGTCAAAAAATGGCGAGTTTTCAACTTTTTTTTGTTAGGCAATATAGGCCAGGAAAATGTCTTTTGCGATATTCTAGAACGAAAAAACGCCTTTGCAGGCTGTAAAAACATAAAATAAAAATTAGCTGAAATAAAAACTGAATTAACTGCTTCTACATATACATACGTCTTCGATGGCGGGAATTTGTCTTTTAGGATGTGTTTGACGATATTGTAGAAAAATATAACGCACTTGCAGACTATGAAAACAATAAGTTAATAAGGTAAAACAAAGGGACATTCCTGCAAAGGCGATAGTCCATGATTTTATTTAAAAATTGGCAATTTTGCTATCTTTTTATTCTAGGCAAGATGGGCCGGGAGAATGTGTTTCACGATATTTCAAAAAGAAAAAACTCCTATCAAGAGTATAAAGACAACGTAGAGGTTAAAATAGTCGAAAAATTGTGATTTTTCCAAAGGGATTAGTCCATGGTCTTGGTGAAATGGTGGCAATTTTTCCATTTTTTTTGTTGTTGTTGCTTTAGGCAAAATAGGCCAAAAAGATGTGTTTCACCATATTCTAGAATGAAAAAACGCCTTTCTAGATTAGTTAAAAAACATGTTAAAATAGTCGACAAATTGGGAATTTTCCAAAGCGGTTAGTCCATGATTTTGGTGAAAAAGTTGAAACTTTTTAATAGTATCAGCGTCTTATGGCATGACTTGGATCCCCTTTTTCTTCTTTTGGCTTGAAACACAGGCGAACAGATACTGATGCTATGTTCTGCTTGATGGCAATTTAACAATCTTAATTTTTTTCATATCCGTTTTTTAAGCATTGTGAAACTAGAGCAAAAAACAAAACAACAACAAGAAATACAAAGAAAAAAAAAAAAGAAACGGAAGGATGCTTTGTCGCCTTTAAAGTTTCACACATTTCCTAGTCAATTGCAATGCATCTTAGAGTCATTTGAGAGTACTTTGGTGGCAATCTGTATCCGCGCAAATTTTTGCTAAGTAAATCCTTTTTTGACTTTGTCTATTTTAAACAGAAGGAAGCGAGAAAAAATAACAGAGAAAAACAAAATATTCTCTCTTTTTTTTAGAGCCAATATCCTTTATGGCTTATGGATAAGTTAGTTTTTGCATTTTGCACCAGATGCATACTGTCTGGCAAAATCCTCCAATACTTTTTTGTCCTTGTTGTTGGCAGGGCGCCTGGGCCACAGTTTAACGAACGAATTTTTGTCCAATTGATAGTGATTTCCGTTGTCTAGCCCCATAAACAGATACTCTTTATATTTCTTGAGATCTGGACTGTGACAGGCACTGCTCCTCCAAAGATGCATTGCTTCCCCAACGTTTACGTTCTTGTTCCCTTGCTTAATAACTTGCAATACTTTTACCACGTACTCTACCAGGGTGTTTAGTTCATCGATGAGCTCAACTCTTCCTTTGATCACTGTAAGTTGTAATAACAAACACAATATATAGTTTAAAAAAACTATTTTGCATTGCCTTGGTTTGACTGTGAGCCAGGCAGACAATATCCCAACACTCCCGTGAAAATGAAATGAAATGCTCAAAGTTTTTTGGAGACCATTACGATGTTTTTCAACCGCTTAAAAAGTGATCTCAATGAAACATTCTCTTTTAAAGTGCAAGATGGTACATGGATTTGCTGTTGATAAAATCATTAAAAAGGCATAAAAACACATGCTCCCTGTGATTTAAATTGCTAATTCGGTTAATTTTCGATATACTGAAATTCTATTGGACAAATAGTTGTGAACAAAATAATGGAAAGTAAACGATGCCGTTTTATTTTGCCGCTCTTTCGACAAGGCCTCGGGTACTTAATATTCAAATATAAAACTAAAACACTTGCTTCTCTTTGTATTCAATTAATTGTAGCGCTTAGCAAGAATCTTAGCCTGTCCCACGCTCCAAGAAAGTGAAGGAAGCGGATCGAGTTGCAAAACCGGGTGGGGCCTAGGAGGAGACGGAGTAGTGGAACCTGTATAAGCATTATTTTCAATACTTCCTCCGGTATACCTACTCCTGGTATACCCTGTGATTGGTCAATTGTGACAGTTTACTTCAATACTTACGTCAATCATTTGGCTTCGCACGCGCAGTCGAAAAAACATGTCGAGCAGGTGAAACCCTCATACACCGTACCTTTTGACGCCTTGACATTTGACATTTTGACACAAGAAAGGGTTTTTCAGGAAATGGGCGGATTGAGGTATTTGAAAATTGAGATGCTCACAGACTCTCCCCTCCTCTCTTCTCGTCGTTTCTCTCTAGTTCGCTATTTCGCTACTCGTTCACTTTTTTCGTTCGTCGACACCGACCGAGAGCCCGCGGCAGCTGACTGTTTTGTCTCACTATACAATGCGTTTTCAAAATTCCGAATTCGTTAACTGAAAAAAAAGAGATGAATCAGACTTACCATAATGGTATTTGTCACAAGCTTTATCGATCAGCTTTCGAATGTTGCCTATAGGGGGATCTGGTTGAGTACATTCGTCTAAAATAGCAGACAGATTAAAGCCGTTATATTCATAACTATCATATGCAAAAACACTTTTGTGGGCTCCTTAAAAAATTTTCGTAAATTAATTAACGCCTTAATCATTCATGCTTCTTCGGTGAGGTGCTTATTCAACAATCTACCTTTTGAAGGAGAAGTTGCCAAGAAGATCTTTTGTTCAAAAACTAGACGCCATTTATCCATCTAAAATGACCCATCCCCTCCCCTCAAAAGTAAGTAATCGGCCTCAATGTAAGGGTGACGGGAAACGCAGAACTACTTAGCCATTTGTCTTGCCATTTTTTCCCGACAGAGATGATTAGGCTGTGCCAATAACCATACATCAATTTTTGGGGTCACGAAATGTTAACTTCAATCTATCCTTCTTAGGTAGTTTGTCGTTTGTGTTAGTTTTATTGTTTGTCTGTTTTTGTTCAGTAACGCCGTTCCTGTCTCTGGGCCTCAGACTGAATTTTTTATCCTTTTTTTCATCTTACTCCGAGTTCTTGTTTTGTTAGATGAAATTCTGATGGGAAAACGTTGCCCACGTGTGCTACCTAATTGGTATTTACCTTGGGTACATCTGCAGGATGAAGAGCCAACGTCGCAAACCCCAAGACTTAACGGGCTATATTTATCTGGTCCGTAGAACACGCTACACGATTCGTCTGCGTTAGAAAAAAGAATAAAGAAAGTCATATTTCCTTAGCCGGAACAAACCACCAAACCGCTTAACTCTTTAAGCAACAAAAATTACTTGCACCTAGTCTCGTTCGGATATGTTATTAGGAGGAAAGATTATCAGAATTAGTGTTCCGATCACCAATTGGAAAATTCTTTTGATCTTTAACAAACTATCTCAACTACGCCGGGTCAAATGTGGCGATTTTTTTCGCATTTGTTTCCATCACGTCGTGTTAAAAACTATCTATCTGCTACGTCACTATTTGAAGTTTAAATTTTGCTGTCAATCATGTGACGTCATTTTCCCTCCAAAAATCGTTAAAATCGAAGAACAAAAAACATACGACTGTTTGAAGTACAAAGTTCAACCATCCCGCAAAGTTTGGGCTGAAACGGATAAAAACTGTAAAAGCAGACAGTTCCTTGGCTTCTTTAAGTGACCCAAAAGTCGCAACAGCTGACCTGGCGTGAACTAATTCTTTTTATAATAAAGATCAGATACACCGTGCATTCTGATTGGTTCAAAAAGTATGTTTCATGAGAGTAAAAAACACGGAGCAAAAGCTGTCACACCGTTAGTGGAGGAGACTAGCAAGCGAATGCGTCGGTTTCAAGACACAAGTTTCGCACTTCAGGGTTAAAAATACATCGTTCAAAGACACAAATGGAAACGGAAAGTTCAAATAAATGCTCAGTTTTCTTTTTGTGGACTAAGAAAGTTTTTGGTTACGAAATCGTCCTTCCCGGAATTCAACGATGTTTTCTTCACGGCGAAGGGCAAAGTGTCCTGTTTTGAAATTCAACTAAGGCAGCGAAGTTTTTGAAGACTTCAAGTTTCAGGTACATTTTTTTGCTCTATGGTCAAGAAAATTACGTTTTTAAAAGGGAATTTGTGTAATGTATAAATGTTTCACAAACGCTTTATAATTTTGTCATCGGCGCTAAAGAAAAATCACAAAATGCACCCCGATTTGAGATGGATTTTGTGTTGAATTTGCCATTACGTTACGTTGCCATGGTAGCAAAATTTCTGGATGAAAACAGACAGAAAACGTCACTTAAAGGGACTATGTCACCCAACACGCATGCGCGAGCCAATGAAAACAAACTTGAAAAAGACAGCCCAACTTTTTCAAGTTTTGTCGGAGATTTTGGAAGGCTGTTTTTATCTGTCTAAATCTCAGCCATCGTTCGATAGTTAGCGAAGTTTTGTATTAAGAATCATTCTATGGTGATTACAGAACAATTTTTTGGTGTTATTTTAAAATTGTTTGCCTGTGGAATGTTTTTACGTGGATTTACTGTGTCCTCTTATCAGCGGCCGTTGTAATGGCAGAGTTAATGACGGCTACTCCACAATGAGTGATGGAATCTTTGATGGAATCTTCCCTATAGTTCACAGGACCTTTCTATTGAGTTATTTTAGAGGCTGCTGGCTCTTGGATTTTTCTTGTGCTCAAAGTATGTGGACATATAATGAAGCGGCTATCGAGTTGGCGGCGGCCGTTTTTTGTAAACGATTACAAGAGCATCAGGCCATGAGTTTCGTGACGAAACTAAACTCCTGGCGAAGGAAACATTCTAAAATTCGGCTAGATTCCTTCTTGTATTTATCTCGATTCACGGCAAAGATAAACACGACCGTTTGCTCTTCCAGATTGTTCTCAACGGACTTAGAGAGGCACCTTAGTACGAGTTAGATCCTGTAAATGCCATGTTTTTGAATTGTTTTTGTTGGAGCATAATTTTGGAAAATAGCAGAGTTTGCTTTCCCTTTTTATCAACGGACTGCTTATAGTGGAGTAGTATACCAATGATGCTGGGTTCTGTTTTTCTCGACGTCGCAGTGATTCGGCACGATCGAACAATTTTGCGCGATAATGTATGTTTCCCTAAGATCAAAACAAAGACTTGGTCTCTTGTTCTATCAGCATCTAAATTATAAAATCAATAGCGACAGACAAGTCTAATTGTTAATGATTTGAAACAGTCTTGGTCTTTATCTTCGGTCTAGCGTCTTTTGTAGCTCGTTTGTAAAATACAACTTCCATTTATTTTGTTGAATAAAACAATATGTTGTTGTTGAATTTTTGTTTGCGCTCTATTTTATGAATGGCATGCGTTTTTACTTCAAAACTACAAGTAAAATTGTCGTCGCAATTTTATTCTTGATCTAGCATAACCAGAGAAGAAACGTTCCATAAATTCTATCGAAATATCCCTTATCTAAACCCATTTCGCTAAACCTCTCTAAATTCGGAACCTTGGACGTGACAGAGAACATGAAGAAAGTCACGCGTTAAAAACAATAGAATTTTGACAGTTGAAAGTAATTTGCATAACCTCAGAGCGCATGCTCTCCAGCTGACATAGCCCCTTTAAAAAGGTGAATTAGTAGTGTTTCGAACTTCATCGATCTTACTCAATTTCATTTAATTTGTCAAATGTTGGCGAAATTCTCTGGGGTTGAATCCGAAAGGATCGTATCCAAGTATGTGTTGTGTTCACCAACTCCAAAGCGGGCGCATGAAATTTGGACGTTTCATGTCGCAGTCGTGCATCAACGGCTAAGAAATGTGCAAAAAAGCATGATGCTCGTGCAAAGTTTTTGTTCTGCTGATCTAAACCTGTTGCTTTTTTCCGTTCTCGTTGCCGTCGCTGTCGTCGTTGCTTAAAGGTGATTTTACACGAGACGATTTGCAACGACGAATTTTTAGCGCAACACAGCTTTACAACATCGTTGCGACATCGTTTTGAAAGGCTGTAACATTGTTCCAACATTTGAACGCAGTGTTGCGCTAGAAATCGTCGTTGCGAATCGTCTCGGGTAACATCACTTTAAGCCCCATACTGTTGTGATCCAGAACTTTTGCTGCTATGGTAACGTGACTTCACACTTCTCCCCTCTATTGAAGACTAATAGAGAGAGGGGGGTAAATGAGTGGTACACCAGTTGCCTCTTGCCAGTCCAATTGTGCACTATTTCAAGTTGCCGGCGTAAAATAAGGACCTTTAGTTTCATGTTATGCAGAAGAGTGTGACTGACCTGGTTCGTAGTAGTCGTAGACATTAATAGGAACCGCCTGCACCACACCCACGAAATATTCCCGGTCAAACTGAACATTCACGCAAAGTTCACGATCATTTGGAATCTGCAAAGATGATAACAATCAACTCTCTGTTACACAAACGTATACATCTTCAACACGGAAAGCTGTCTACAAAAATCACAATTAATGTGTCCTTGAATTCACTATGTTGCGTGTTAAAGTCGATTTTTGTGCCTACATTTCGGTAAAAAACCGGGGTAAGAACCTGCATTTTCCCAAGTTAGCCTAAAAAGGTTCTTAAATAAATGATAATTAGCACAAGGTTCCTAAATAGGTTCTTGTCTGAAGAAAAAAAAAATACGTAGTAGCTTAGACTGTTATAGCCTGTACACACACGTTGTTTTATTTTTCTTTTCGTTCTTTTCGAAAACATCGGCGAGCGCGCGAGCGAAGCGAGTGAGAGAGAGCGAGACCGAGCGCAGAGCGTGAGAAAGAAAAATGAAGAACGTCTGTAGACATCTTTGGGAAAAAAGTCGGAGACATTATTTATTAATTCCCTCCCTCATGTCAACGCCTTATCATTATCACCTCCGCTTTCACAGTACCAATTAAATTTGACCAATGTTATTGAGGATTGAGTCAAAGAATGACTCGCGCGCTCTACGGACTTTGAAGAAAAAATAGAGTGTCTGTGAACAGGCTAAGACTATTACTGGTATTAAGCTTATTCCTTACCTAAAATCTGCATACGATTACATCGCAGTTGGAGTTGGAGTTGTATATATATATTTTCTATATAGTTTTTATTTAGTGTCAGCTCGAAGATATTAGCTTGTTAGCTACTCTAAAATTCGAGTTTAAATAAAGTTTTATGTCATGTTATGTTATGTTATAGGGAACATATGTCTCAAAAGAGGATCTTGAAAGCTGGCTTATTTTATATGCCGAACTGAACATAATTTTGTTTATAGATTTTAGAAAATAAGAACCTGTTTCAAATTTTAGGTTAAACAGGTTCTTGTATAAAGGGGGCCTAATTGGCACATTTTAGCCTAACAAGTGAGTTAATTGAGTTATTTCGTTCTCTGTAGAACGCGATTCCAATTGGAAGCCTGCTTTTCTTTACTCCTTTTATCGACAAGGTGTTAAGGCAGCCCACATAAACAATAAACAATTTCTCCTAAAAAACTCCGTACGAGCCCGGGATTACAAGGCTTACCTCACTTAAGTATAGGACCAATGACCTGTCAGAAACCTCATGTCGGTCTACTTCAGCCACATTCTCAAGCAGCTGTCAAAGGTAAAACACCAAATTAATACTCAATTATTTCAAATCCTTAAAACAACAGTACTAAGGGTGCATGGTAGGCGTAAAACGGGAAGGTGTTGGAGGGCAGTCTTGCTTTTTGATGGAAAAGGGATTAATAAAATCTGAAAAAAAGACATTTAACCCATTCGCCCCCTGAACCCCTATCCTCTGGGTCATCAGTTTTAACGGTCAAGGACAACTCCAATAAATTTTCAAATAGGAATGAGTTCAGTCTTCCGGAGAAAGAAGCAAAAAACCACGGGGGACCTGAAAATCTTAAACCCCGACCCTATTTAAGGATAAGAGACAAAGAAAAACGGATACCCTATTTAGGGCCCAAATCTGAAAAAAGACCCAGTTTAAGAAAGAAACAAAACCTAACAAACATTCAATCGAAACACACAAATCTTCTTTAAACCGCTTTCCTAATACTTTAAGGTAAAGTTCAGTTTTAACAAGGGCCATTATGGCTCTTGGTTTTAACAGATGATTTGTTTCTCCCTTAACTGGGTATTTACGAGCTCGAATTTTATCTGACATGATAACGGTACTCTGTCTAAGGATCACACCGGGTACGCAAAGCCAACAAGGGCAAAAATGTTTTCGAATATTTCTACGGACGGAGACTCTCAAAAATTAGCCCTAATAGGCGGCACATACCTATGTAGCCCGTGTGGGGGAGTATATCCCCCGGGCGCCGGTCCCATCCTCCCCAGTTAAATTTCTGATGAAGAACCCTCTTTTTTCTGCTTTTTCAATCCCTCCCCTTTCGAGGGAAAACAACTGTGACATGGCTAGATGAAAATGATTTACTCCTGCAGTTTTAGTGGTGATGCCAGCCACAACAACAGGGAATCCAGTTCTGCGACCTCATGAATAAGCAACAATCGAAGTCACCGAGATGCATAACATTAGAACCTTTAATTTTTGGTAGAAAACAATGGACTCTACCTTCAGTGATTTCTGGTCTGGTTTGAATCCCGTTAAAATGCCAATATCTATGATTGACATGCTTGTATTTGCTCTTTCGCGATATCTGCAAATTAAGAACAATAAAGAAAATTTATTAGGACGTCAGGTAACAGGGGCGGATCCAGGATTTTTCTCAGGAGGGGGTGCACCACTAAGGGATGGCGTAACTGATCGATGACGTAAACAAATTTTAAAAGCGAATATGAAGAAGGCTTTTGACTAGGTAATAACATAATGTGAGCTGCTGAGAATACATATCAAACGATACAGACAAATTTTGTATTATTCACTGCACAGTGTTAATTAGAAACCGCAGGTCCTCAGGGGGGCGCACCCCTGAGCCCCTGGGTAACGACCTGGCATTGTGACTGAAGTATTCAATGTATTGAAACGTGGTCTCCATGAGCCCGCGACCAGTAAAGATCGGAAAGAGTACATCGTGTATGGTAACATATATATAGAAGATGTTGGTTGATGCTGAAGGGGCTGTATCACGCTGTTTGCTTAAAAAAAAAACTGAAATGTGTCTTCTCATCAATTGAATTCTAAAAATAATGGTCCAGGCTTGTTTTTTAAGGCTATATCTAGGCACTGAAACTGTTTCCTGTCTTCTGTTGCAACGGATGGCGAGGATTGTCATGGATTAAAACTTAAATAAGTTGAGCCAACTTTTTTGCGTTTCCATGCCATTCCTGCAAAAATGACCCAAAAATGTTGTGATAAGTGCTTCCTGGGTAAATTAAAGGCACTAAGTAACGACTTCAACACAGAATTGACCTATGAGAGCAATATCCTCTCGACATGGCCCCTTTAAGCACCGTATACATATGTTTCACATGTTAGGGGTTGGGCTGGAGAGGAAGGGTGAGGGGGCTGTCCCCCCTTTCTGAGTTTGGTGGCCTATACAGTTGAGCCTCTTGACAACGGCCACCTTGGGGACAGAAGAAAGTGGCCGTTGTAGAGAGGTTTTAACAAGAGTCAATGTAAGGCATGTCCTCCAAAAAAAGTGGCCGTTGTAGAGAGGCTTAAGCAAGAGTCAATGTATGGTATGTCCGCCAAAAAAGTGGCCCTTGTAGAAAGGTTTAAACAAGAGTCAATGTATGACCTGTCCGCCAAAAAGAGTGGCTGTTGTAGAGAGGCGGCCGTTAGTGGAGGTTCGACTGTAACTCTCCCTTACCGTGTGCAAACCTTTAATTGAATGGACTTGACGGGCTGGTGCTTCGGTGGAGGTTTCTTCTTTTCACACTTTTTCTTATTTTTGTTCTTTCCTTTGCATCCTTTCTTTCTCTTTCCACCTTTATTTTTTGGTTTCCTTCCTTTCTTTTTCGATTTCGCTTTATCGTCGCCGTTTCCTTTTGCATCGTTTTGCTCAGGACCAGCATCTTTTATCTCTGTTACTGTTGTTTTCAGTGCAAATTTGCATACATCATTGGGAGATATCGCCGGTACGTTGTAGCGAACATCAACCTTTCAGAAAAAAAAAACAGCGTTGAAAAGTGAGAGCCTAGTGATCTAAGATTTCTGGCCTTTCCCGCCCTTTTTTGACCATTATGAAATGTCTAATCTCACAGCGTTATCTTTCTTACTTGACTGGGTTCTTCTTCTTTGAATTTTTTATTTCGCCCAATTCTACTGCATTATTTTTGGCCTCTTGAAGGCAACTTCTCTTTCCTATTTAACCGCTTCTTTTTCTCATTCTATCACGGGTAACCCTGACTACACCAATTAACAAAAGAGGTTGCGTCCACCAATCATGTAAGGCGGCAGCTGTGACTGAATTTGCCGATGACGATTATTTACTAAATATATCAGATGACCAAAAGCGAAGCTCTCGTGGGAACTTTTAAGAAAAGTCTCCCTGAAGTATTGATACCCTATTTTGACAGCTGCCAATTGAGTATAACATTTTAAACACATGCCTAGGACAAGAAGGGGAGGGCGTACATACCTACATGCGGACGATTAATTTTATTCTTACCCGTGGTGCTTCGCTATAACGATATCTCTTTAAACGCATTACTAAAACGATCTATTTTTTGCAAGTTATATGAAATATTTGTAATAGCTTAATCAGAGTTTCAGAGTCGCGCAACCTACTTTTTTTTAAACAATTCTTGACTTACCTCGAGCATCGCAACCCCAGTTCCTCTGGTTTCCACAAATAATTTTCCCCCCAAGAAATTCTTAACCTGTCAATAAATCAAAAGATGCTAGATTTGAGACTCGGTTGAGTAAAAATTAATTAATATGCCTACATTAAAAAGGGATAAATAAGATAAACAGCCTTTTTACTCATGCTATAGAGGAGGTAATTCGAAGAACTCTCCGATTACCTCCATTTCTTTAAACTTATTCCGGAAAGTGCATTGCCTCAATGACAAAGTTACGATTTCCGTTAGTAGTTCAGATCTTAACACTGGGGTAAATGACTAACTATTTGACATCTTTCAGTGTTTCTAAATTTTACGATCTCCCTAAAACTATTATTCGTCGTGAAATAAAATTCCTTACATCAACTTGTCTTCTTAAAAGGGCATTTTGTGGAGTAATATGTATCTCAGGTGGTTTCCAGGCTGCGTCAATTTCAGAGGTCAGTTTGACTCTCAGGTCCAAAGTGTTTCCCGCCGTACGTTCACTGTACAAAGCCAGTGCCTGCAGAGCTACAAATGTGTCCTGTGGAAAAACAATACACTGACTGCATGAAACAGCAAATATACAGGACCTTATGTGTCCTTATGCACGTACCCTTAAATTGACGTTATATGTACTGGATGATTATAAATCAGTACGGCCTCAGTTTGAGACATGGTTTCCAAGAAGAACTGTTTTTCTTATGAATTAAAAGTCAATGGCTCATTAAGCCTCGCTTGCAAGTTAAAATCTCATTCTATTTTTCAATGTACAGCATCTTGCGACAGAGTGGTCACCCAGTAAAACAACGTAGACTACAAGAAAGGTAAAAAAGCCTCTTTATTTTACATGGATGACCAGCGCAAATCTGTGTGCTCGTGTTTGCGTACGACGATGACTACAGGAAAGAGATTTTCTCAATCTAAGCAGTGCGCGGGCGCCTACCAGGGTCATTTTGATGGGAAACGTGATAGCCGTCATCATTTTTCTACGCAAGTTCAAATCTTCTTCAATATTTTAATGTTCAGCGTCTTGCGAAAGAGTGGTCATGCAGTAAAACAAGGCAGTTTATAAGAAACGTAAAAAAGCCTGTCTATTTTATGATCGTCGCTATATATGACATTTTTGCAGTCTGCTTGTGTTTGTGTACGAGAACGACTACGAGAAAGTGATTTTCTCAATACTATGTCGTACGCGCGCGTGTGTGAATCGGCGTCATTTTTGGGGGAAAACATGATAGCCGTAGTCTTTTCCTACGGTGAGTGGAAACAGTGGTGGAAGCATTTAAGTTATCGAATGTTAACATTTTTATCACTTTGCAATCGGGAGAAAGCTTATCCGCTATCAATAAAAAAATAATAATTGCGTTAACTTTCCTGGTGCAGTAAAATAAAGTTTCCCGTGGTGTCTATTTTTGGAGAACAAACGAAAAAAAATATGAAACACAACTGCATAAGTTGCTTTTCTTTTACAGTCTGAATGTATCAGGCCTATTGTTAAAACCTGCAGCAGTTCCTACTGTTTGTTTATTTGGGGGTGGGCGGACTAGACGCATCATTTTCGTTGTTTAATCGTTGCCTTGATTTTTAATAAGGATATTGAGCCAATCTGTTAAGACAAACCTTTAAATACAAGCCCCTGCTACAATACCCTATTTGTAGCATCAAAAGAAAAAGAGGCGCGATGTTGATCCAGCTAAGTACAGTTGTTGGAATGTGCTGGAAATTGTGGTTAGCCTTATCGCAATCAAATGTGTTGGGTAATCAGTCATTTATCCTGAATTGGTTCTCTCTAACAATGTTGAGAAATACCAGAAAATGACTCAAAAAACGTACAAAAAAACCCTTTTTTGTGCAAGTTCAAGACAGTTTAGTACACCAACAAGATGTTGCTCGATTATTTGACTTTTAATGGTAAAAATTGTAACCTTTGGATCTGAGTTACTTCCTTTATCTTCAATCTGAAAATTTGTTTGGCTCAAGGCGGTCAAAGAAGAGCAACCTAACTTTAAGGATAAGTTTAATTTGAGAATTGTTACATACCTGTGACGAAGAGAATCCAACGCCGCCTCTTCTCTTATTGGTTAGGTAAGTAACAATGGGACCAGCGTAGCCAGTACGTCCCAGAATTATCTGAGCCATCAGTGCATAACCAGCGGTCTCAATATTGAGCGCCTCTCCTCCAGCGTTCCAGTAACGTGACTTTTTTACTGCCATCAATATATAGAGGATATTACGTGGGCGCAGGGAGATACGTAATTTCTCCTCGAGTGTAGAAAATTATTTCACCCGTTCGCTTCGCTCATTCGTGTAATCAGTTTTTCAACGCGAGAAGAGAAATTCAGCATCTCCAAGCGGCCATACAATCTTCTATTTAGGGGTATAAACACCAATGAAGTATATATTTTTTGCAGCAAAAAGCGCGATTTGTTATATGAAACCTTAGCAACGGTGATCTTTTCACGAGTTTAAATAACATGCTATTTTCGCGTGTGAAGATATCATGCGGGAGTTTCTAGTAAAAGAACACCTGGTATTTTATTGGTGTTTATTGAGTAATAAAGCAGAATAATTGGTACCTCCATGTGATAGGTCTGAACGAGAATTTCAAAGTGCGTTTCGAGGTACTAACCATTATCGTAGACAGCATTCTGTACAAGCCTGTCGTTTGCTTTAACTTTTTCTACGCTGTTCACCAGACTCAGCGCGTAAGCTGTCAGTGCCATACTGTACGGTTTGTTTAGGGTCTTGTATTGTACCTCAAGGTAGGCTTTGGCATTGTTTATGGCCGTTTGTGAATTCTAAGGGCAAGTATTCAGAAGACACGTTGGTTTAAAAAGGAATGGATCCAAGATTTTCATTAGAAAAGGATCCTAGCTAAATCGTGCTCACTATTGGGACTATCATTTCTAGCCTTCCTCTTCGCCACTAATTAGTTTCTGGTAAAGTAATTATGCTACGTTGAAGAAGTTGCATGTTACAAACATGCCTTTTTGGTTATTTATCCCAGAAATAAAATTTTGTAATCACTTCAGCCTTCAATATTGGCCACGTAATAATTATCACTGTCTATATATTATAATGTCGAGTGTCAAAACGTTTTATTACTTTCCTGCTTTTTAAGGCATCAAGATCGTTTTGAAACAAAAGTCACACCAGTTACCGTAAACAAATATATAATAAATGAACACAAGGAAATATGGAAAGAAGCATTGTCATCTACATACCACTCCTTGGCATTTGCACTCCGCCAAGGCTGCCAAGACGAACGCTGTCATGGCAACAGCTCCTTCACCGGAAACTCCGCCCTTAAAAAGAAAGCTTCACTTTATAGAGACGTTTTCAAATGCCGGGAAATAGGAAACGTTGTCAGTCAATAGAAATAGACTAAAATGAATTATTAAACTTAATATATGGTGCCAATCCATCGGTAAAATAAATCCGGTGCTTTTAAACATCCCATATATCTCAGTCAAGCTTAACGTTATTTAAGTAAAGAAAGATTGCGTTTTTATCGTCAATAGCTTAACGACTTGTTTTCTTTTGTTTCTGACGACGCCATTAATTGAGTTCAGCTGGTTGGGTTTTAGTTGCGTTTGTGAGACGGGCCGAGATGGCTCCGCATAGTCATTCCTGGTTTCTAAGAACGTTCGATGGGCATCAAGGACGTTTAAATTGATTTTTGATAATACACTAAGCATTACTTTCCCGTAGAGAATGTTAAACGTACGTGGCACGATGCAGCTTAGCCAAGTACAGCCTGTTAGAAGGAGAGCACTTAGTGATTTCCCCCAACTTACAACCAAGTGAGAAAATTAACGTTACTCGATGTAGCTGACACAAGTAACGAGTGTTAAAAAGGAAAGCACTGATTTCCTCAACTTACCGCGAGATGTCTTCCATAAACGAGAGCTGGGAACCCAGCACCACCTTGGTTCTGAATCAGCCAGCGCACTGAAGTACAAACCAGGTTTTCATCAATATTCACTCCAGAGAACTTCTGAGCCTTGCAGAATGTTTTCATCACGAACGCAGTCAGCCTAATTGTAACACAGGAAAGTCTTTGTCACCAGTGTACGGTCGTGCGGGAAAAGCAGGAATAGTTAAAAACTGTCTGAAATGTTTTTCATTTAGATAACTTCTCCTCAGAGAGTCCTTAGTTCTTAATAAGTGAACAATATCATCATCGAAATCATCATCATGATCAAAATAATAATAACAATGATGTAAAATATAATATCAATAATAATCATCATCATCGTACTTTTTCTTAAAAGCACGTACTTTTTTTTGTTATCGTAAATTGACAAGGATGTAAACTTTTACAAACCATACGCTTCCTGGTCGATCTTCACCCCAAATGCTGAACGATGTATCAGCGCGACGAAAAGTGAGAACCCTTTGGTACCCTAGCAAAAACAACTTTTAATCAAAACTTCATCGGGACATTTCTAGTTAAGAAAAATAACGAGAAAAAATTCAATTATTCATCGCTTTCACTCTTCAGTACTAATTCATCATCTGAGTAATTGTCAGACGCAAGGTTTCATTTTTTTTTTTTCAGTTGAATATCCATTTATGTCCACAGGTAAGAGTATAAATCATATCTTTTCCAGGATCTTTATACGTAACTGAATTAAAATCCCTCTCTTAAATAAACTGTTCCAAACGTTAATAAGTCTACTGCAAGGATGATGATTCAAGAGAAAGCCCAAATTTTGTTTCAGGTAGCCTGAGAATAACGACTAAAGCCAAGTAAAAATACTCCCATCCCGTCAGGTCAATAGGTTTCAATAGCCATGTGACAAACATTGACTACAGTTTTGAACTAACGAATTGCGTTTAAATGGAGCACGCTAAGAGCAGGACACTTTATTAATTACCGTAAAATTCCGAAAATAAGCCCCGGGGCTTATATTTTTCAAAGGCCTTTTTGGAGGGGCTTATCTACGGAGGGAAATTTGCTTTTCAAAATCGACTGGGCTAGCCTTATAGTTGGGAGGAAATTTACCGTTTTTGCTTTGTTTTACTTTGTATTTGAGGGCAATTTCCAAGTACAAGCCCCCCGGGGGGCTTATATTTGGAGGGGCAATTTAACGCAGGGTTTTTTGCGTTACGAGTTTGCGGGGCTTATATTTAGAGGGGCTTATTTTCGGAATTTTACGGTATACTTTCTAAGTATCCGTACCAGCCTGAATGAAACGATGAGCGTTTGCCTCCATCGTTCCTGTGACTTGGTTGGTGTTCATTAAATATTCAAACACATAGACGTTTGGAGAAAAACTTCTCATCGTTTGCTCCCCACACCCGCCAGGCATACGGATAAAACTTTCCAGACCACCTTGGATAGTAGTATTAATGATAGGACCAAGAAGGTTTCCTAGAAATTGCAAATAAAAATCCAGATATTAAGATAACACATATCACACAAACAAAATGCACCTTGACAAGAAAAAGAAATCTATCAACGATTCTCTGCCTTACAGGAAATATAGACGACCCTTTATACTATCGAGCATTTGGCCTTTTCAAAAACACGTCAAATGTACCGTAATTGACTCTTGGTAATTGATTTTAGGAAATTAGAGGGAAATGAGAAAAAAAGTTAAAGTGAAGCTGAAGCTTAAAATATGGCCATCTAAAGCAAATCCCCCTTCGCTTGAAACTTCAGCTTCACTCCTTTGTTGTCATGCCAACAGTGTCAGTATATGCTAATGAGACGTAGAAGGTCACAGAAAAAGTCAATAGGAAGCTAAGCTCGACGCTTTTCATTGACGCTGCCTTCGCAGGGTACTAAGGATAAAATAAATAGATCACATCAGGAATGATGCAAAGATCTGTAAAGAGCAGGCCAGAAATCATTAAAAGATATTATATTCACGCTACAGGCCACTTGCCTTTAATTCATAGACTCCTTGAGAGGAAAGACAAAGACTTGGATTCGGGGGGCAGGGGGGGTACTTGGGTTAATTTTTGCTGGGTATGTGCCGCTGGCCTTTCAGAGCCCCTACCCCATTATGGTCTATTCGGTGGCCAATTATAGACCTCATCTCAGTCACTTTTGGGCAAATATGTAATTTTTGCGATCCTAACTTAGTCACTTTCTATTTATTTATTTACCTTATATTGAATGAATCAAAGAACACTTTACTTTACCTTTAGTACAAGCATTCTGTTACGTTTGCTAACCGTGAATGTGAAGAACTGTGTTACCCCAAAAAGTCAATCCAGCAGTGCAAATGCGACCCCATCCAGCGGGACATCCCCATTAGCCTCTTATAAGGAAGTACCCTCCCCCCGGACTTCGGTGCTAGCTCAAGAGAAACGTTCAAATTAAACCAAGAAAGACCGTGTAGAGCAACACTGAGAAACTAGAAAATAATGGTAAGGTGCATTACTATGGAACTAACAACAACAACCATCTCACTTTTCGGAAATCAACTTCACTGTAGAAGAACTTACTCCTTCGGCTTCGGCCATGTGTTTCCCTCTTCAGAAGGTTAGTACAGAAATTGAAGATTATTTTAGAAGGCCGCTATTAATACAGAACTTATATGTTGTTGTTTTAGTTGTTGATTTAAGTAAACTAGATGTAAAATCATTGACAATAGTTCAGAAAAAATATTGGGTCGGTTAGAACCTTAAAGAACGTTATCCTCGACTCATGGCATGCTGCCAAAACCCAAAGTTCGTTTGATAAAATCTCTCACCTGTTAGGTAAATCTTTGCACTAACTGATCCAGGGATTATTGCTTTCGGTACTGACAGCTTAATGTTATCAACTTGCAACTGATCATTCGGTCGATATTGCCCTAGAGTAAAGGGACATATTTCATTATTAATGTCCTGCAGCTTTGCAATTCTTATTTATTACTGTTAAAGAACATTTTCAACAAATCATTACTGATGACAAATAAAAAGGCCTGGGGGTTCAAGGCTTGTAGCAGATTGATCATACATACTTGTACTCTCGAATGGAAACTTAATTGGTTTATCTGGTTTGCTATCTTCACTCCTCGGTCTATCGCTAAGATATCCTAAAAGAAAAGATCAGTTATAACAGTAAGGTTTTATAGTTGACGCGAGGGGGACGAGTGACTGAGAAGGGCCTGTATGGGCAGATAAGAAGTAGGAATTTAAAACGCAGTCACAGCTCTTTAGACGGGTTAACTTTCTTTGGTGAAGACCAGTGCTGACGGACGGGACTTCACAAAACCACGTAATTTGAACTCAATCGTTAATTAGAATATGAACCATTCCTGAAAGAATTGCCACTCTAGTTGCAGGCACTTTTCCCGCTTTCCAAGGGTGACCTTAGTGGGACTCCGGATCATTAAAAACGTTTCTGGGAAACTGACCACCGACGTCTCCCCTAAACCAACATTAACACTTACTTATCACTTAAGGCAAAATGTTGGCTTAGGGGAGGGGTAGGTGGTCAGTTTTGAATTGATGTCGGACTTCAGTCTCTTCAAGACTCTGCAGGTACCGGATAGTTACCATAAACAATAAGCATTTGGAGTGTGAAAGCCACTGTCGACAAACAACCATGCATTGCGACATTATTGGGAAGCCCCCTGACCTTAATTACACGTCATGTCTCTCCGCAGAGAAAGGAAAAGGAAAGAAAAATGAAGGGAAAAGAGAGGACTACAAATTCCTTTCTAAAGTGTGGGGCATTACCGTTTGGATCCAAAATGAAAGTTTGAGATTTCTGGGTCTCCTTTCCTTCCGGCTAGAAATAGAACGAAAAACATGGCTTTTTAAAACAAAATAGATGAATCATTGCGCCAAATAAAGTAGGCAAAGCAATAGTTATATTGTCAGAACCAAGCAAGTGCGCGTTTTCATCACTCCTTAGGTAGAACAACTACCATTTTTAGTTTCTGATTTCAATTCTGTTAATATAATGAAATCTGTAATGAGCTTGTTTTTCAAATGGCTAACAACTTTTTACAGCATTCTTATACGTTAATTTTGGCTATTCGACAAGTAGCATAGTACACTCTGCATTTGCGGCGAACATATTTCAAGTGGTCGCTTTCAAGAGGTTAAAACAATGCAAAGTTGTTAAATCATCACCCTAAAATGTGGTCGCAGTGGTTAACGATCGACGAAGGAGGTGGTCGTTTTTTCAGTAAGGACTTTGGGTAGGAAAATGTGGGAACAGTTTTGGAGAGGTGATCGCTTTAATTTGAACGATGGTCGCAAATGGAGTAACAGATGATTGTCCAAAGCGGAAAATACCACAATATTCTTTTAACTGTCGTTTTAATAGGTGATGGTTCATGTGCACCATACTTTTTCATTATGTTTTGTTCTTTTCATTAACTGCACTTGCAGTGTATGCAAATTTACCACGATTGAGCACCACCCAAACGAGAAAGTAAGGAATACTGCTATTTTCTGCCTTTGGCCAATTCAGGTTGCAGACAAGTATACTTACCACAACAAGAAGTTTCTTAATCACAATATCTCCTGCGGCGTTTCTGAACGAGCCACCATGTTTTATTTGAACAATGAGAGACACTTCAATTTCAGTTTCACCAACTCTTTTGGGAACAATGGGAACTGCTACAGATCTGGCGTCACGTGGTGGTACTCGAAAATTTCCAATTGAAGAAAGTTCACGATTCTGCGCAATCGAGCAAAAGTCCTGGTCTCCTCTGAGGTACAATTTAGCCTGATGAGGAGAACACGAGACGAGTGAGAAATACTGCTTAATTCGACTCTAACCAGCGAGAAACTATAAGATGAACTATAAAATGTTACTTTTTATATCGCAATCGCCCAGCCGCCGGTAATAGGCATAGGCCATTTTCACGCTGACGACACGACTAAAACTACCAGAATATCATTTTTGCTTTCTTATTATGTTTTCGATCCCGCTTTGAACAAGGAAACTAAAACTGAAGGATCATGGTAGTAGTAGTAAAATGTCTTTATCGTGCAATTGTCCCATCGAATTGTTTTTAAAATTTTATTGTTAACGTTTAAGGCCATTCATAAACTTGCTCCGACTTACATTTCCGAACTTGTATCACCGAAAGACACAGGGGGTAGGTACTATCTTAGATCAAATGACGGCAAACTTCTTAACATTCCACCATGCAAGTCTCTTTCCACGCTTGGTGATCGATCTTTTTATATGGCTGCCCCTAAATTATGGACCGATCTTCCCCTTTTTATTAGAAATATATCTTCAGTTAATGCTTAAAACTCATTTATTTCAGAAGGCGTTTCCCAGCTAATTTATTGTTTTTATTCTCTTTATTAAGAAGGATTTGTATATAGGATTTTAAAGATTAATTTTTATTTTTGAATTGTTATTTTTTTTACTAATTTTTAGGAACGATCTGTAAATAAGACTTTTGGAATATGTACTAGGATTTTAGGATTTTGTTGAGTCAATGTTATGCGCAGATGAAAATTTCTTTCCCTGGATTGATATTTGCGCAATAAAAATCAATAAATATTATTATTATTATTATTATTAAACTTCTTTTCACTTAGGATAAAATTGTTGGTTTTATTTACAGACAACACCCTTTCTTGAAGCCCTGAAATGTACCAAAATAACAGGAATGCAATTCAGTAATATTTGTCTAGAACAATTGTCTTTGCAATTGAGAACAAAGGCAAAGCCTTTAAGAGTGACAAGAATATTGTTGAAATGAATGGTTTTCGTTTGCGTAGGTCAATAACATCACTGCTCATCAGAAAGTGCGAGTGGGCAATTAAACGAAACTCTCGTACCGTGGGTAAAAATTGCGTGTGAGACTGGGGAGGCAAGTGCCCATACGCCTTACACATCATGAAAAATATCTCACGCCGGCGCTTCGCGCCTTGATCAACTGATTTTGCGAAAAAAAAAAAGGTGCGAGAAACAATACATCAAGTCGTTCTACAATTGTTTTGTTTTCAGCCTCACCCGTATCTCTTCAACGTGATAATTGTAGACTGTTGCCAGAAGAGAGATTTGTTCCCCCTTTTTAACAGAGTAGGGCATCTTGACAGAAACAAAAAACTCCTTGAACACTACAATATTAAGAGGCGTTGCTAGTCCCAGGCCAGTTTTGTTGTTGATAGCCACTGCCTGCATCACCCATGTAGTTATAGTGTCCGGCATCGTAAAACCCATCTCAAAACGGCCATCTGAACTATAAAAAATAAAGCATTAATATTGTTAGTAAAACTGACAAAGACCCTCGATTTTATGGCTTTTTGAGTACAAATAGGCTTTTTTTTAAAACTGTAAATAAATTTCTTTGTTATTTTGTAAACTAAGACATCGGTCCGAGATTGTTTGACCGACTTTTGGGGAGCCCATTTTAGACTGAACTGAGAGAGATCATGCAGACGTAATTTAAATCACTGTAATACCTCCAGACGAAAGTTCACCAATTCGATCCTCCAGGTTTCCAGAAACCCACACTTTTAAATCGAGGCCATTGACTTAAGCATAGTTTTATCTGAGTGCGCTTACATATTCAGTTTTTCTCATGTTAAAGGTTTACCCTTATTGTCAAAAAAAGAGGGTTGCCGTTACGTGGAAAAAGTCTTATTGAAAATATAATTAAAATGGCAATATTTAGATTCTCGATAATCGTACCCTACAACTTTTTCATCGAAGATCCATGTCTCTGGAAAAAAGGATCTTTTTTGCGTTTGATCAAGAATTTTCTCATCACTGTCGTCAAAATTACCCGCATCCAGGCCATTCCGTCCAAGCAGTGCTGTGTCTGTAGATGAGAATAATTAAGTAAGCAGCTGAGTTTGACCGTGTTTGTTTTTAATTTTAAAAACCCCTCTTTAAATAGGACTTACGATGCAGATGAACCTAATAATTGGCAACACAAGCAACCGTTCATATTCGCCGCGCATAACCACTCCCCCAGCCCCCCCCCCAAAAAAAAAGGATATAAAAGACCTACATTAGTTTTTTTTATCCGCTCCGCCATGGCTTACTTCCCCTATATCTCTATATCTCTTTACCCCAACAGTGCATGTTTCGAGGTCTTTTTCACACAGATTTCTATGTCAATAACCTTCAGATTATTCTTATTAGTAGTAGTAGTAGTAGTATTGATAATTAGTATGTTTAATCAAATGGTGACGAGTGAAATTAGGGAATAATTTCACGCGCGTTTTGTCCAAATCCTAATAATTTCCCGAGCCTTCAGGCAAGGGAAATTATTAGGATTTGGACAAAACGCAAGTGAAATTATTCCCTAATTTCACGAGTATACCATTTGATTACCTATTAATATCATGGGTGACGAATTACGTTAGCAATCTTGGATTTTTGACATGTTTATCCTGGATCGTATCGATCGAGCGCTCCACTCTCTCAAATGTTTAGATCTTAAATTTGTCTTATAAAGTTCAGAATTTTTCAGACTTTTTCGGCAAAATACCTGTTAGAATCCTTCTTGATGTTCTCTTGTGTGTTCAGGTTTTCTAAAGCGTCGTTTTGTGCCCTGACATCTTCATTCACGGAATTTTAAAACTTCGTCGCCATCTTGACACTGAGACGTACGTAAGGGTTACCATGGCAATTTTGTAATTTTACATGTGAAATTACAAATTAAGGCTGAAATTTCGCGCCAAAATTAAGGAGTAATTCGTCACCTATGATATTATTATTATTACCTTTCGCTCCATACAAAGCCATGCAGCATTTCCAGAAGGACATTCTGCATCGACTGCTTAATCCTTTGTTGCTATCAACAGACAACTTTCCGCAACTCACATTTCCGTTGTCTTTGGCCATATCGCAACATATTTTATCCTCTGTTAAGCCAATAACATAGACAGACCAGCAAAAAAATAAAATTAAGGGCACCAAATTAAAGGTAAGATTACCAGTCTGACACCAAACTAAGTCAAGTCTTGAGAAAGCCCATCTGAGCGTTGGGTCGGTGGTTGATAGTCAGTTCATGGGATTCTGGATTGTGCATTATTTTTCTAATTACAAATAGAAAGTGCAGAGTATCTTTATGGCCATTCCGGCAATTCTGAGCCATCTTATCTTATAAGAAGAGAAGTTTGGACAAGTCTTCAAAGTATTCATATTCTTTAGAAATTGGCATGCAACATACATTTTTTTTTATTTATTGGTTGAGCAAAAAAGCACATATCTAAAAGAATAAGAAGCTCTTGGATGGGATCATATTTGTTTCGTCACGCAAAAAAATTTTGCTTACACATAACTGGAGTAAGTGTTTACCTAACTTTCCTCTTACATCTCTCCTCTTTCGAGACTTATCTTCAGCACAGCCATAATCTTTAAAAAAGAAAGCATTGACACAATATAATTAATTATTGATACCATCAAATCAAATTAACGTAGTAGAAGGAGGCCGTTTTCAGCAGATACTGAGTAAAAGGTGGCATGGAGTAGGCTTAACAATCAAGGTGTTAACAATTTTTGCAGCATTTTCCAGCACTAATGCTATGGTTCAAGACTACAGCACATCTCTAATTGACGCTACTCTAAAGCCCACTAACTGACGCACTACACCCAAATGAGATCTAACCAGCTTGACTTGATCCTCACCAGACGTTCCAACCTTTTCAGCTTCAACATCACGCGCAGTTATCAGGATGCTGATTGTGATACGTACCACCACTTGGTGTGAAGCAGAGTAAAACTGCGAACAAAGAAACTTTATCGCACAAAAAAGGAGGGAATGCCTCCCATTGACAACAGCAAAACCCGTAAACAGGGTAAAGTGGAGGTATTTGCACGTGCGCTTGAGGAATTTTTTCATTTATGGCCCGCCCGAAGATAACGTATGCGATAAATTGGAACACTTCAAGAATGCTTTTCACAGGGCCGACTTGTCCATTTTTGGCGGGAAGACCAACAAGACTGCTGACTGGTTTGAGTCCCTCTCTGAGAAGACACCAGTCGCTGATGAAAAGACGAGCGCCCTTTCAGCATACAAAGCCTGTCTCAGTGCAGTCGAAGCTCTCCTTGGGACCACTATAGTATGCGACCAGGTCTAGTTACGTCCACCTTTGTAATGAAACTTTGTAATGAAAAGCTCTCGTAAGCGACCGTTCCCATAAGCGACCGTGACTACTTTTGGGAATACCCAACTGGACTATTCCTTTGTTTTTAAGCTCTCTTAAGCGTCCACTCAGTCTTATTCATATAAATCAACACTTAAATGAAACTGCACACTGCGCTAATGACCTAAAAAGTTTAGCCGTTTCTATTTTTTTATAATATTAGATATAAAGACACTCATTAAACATTAATTGCTTTTGTTTTTCGTTATGAATTGTTATTGAGTTTCTAAAACTTTCGTAATCGACCATCCTCAATTACTTTTCCATACGGTCACTTACGAGAGCACATTCTCTTAAGCGATCAGCTCTAGTTACGACCACTTTTTTCGAATTTCTGCAGTAGTCGCTTACGAGAGCTTCGACTGTAGACTCAACCTGCAGGCTCTCCTAGGCGCTCACAGCAAAGTCCAGCAGACCGCCAGGAGATGTTAAAACGAATACTGGCTTCAGAGCTGCTCTCATATACAGTCAGCAGCTGATACAACATCAAGGAGATGTATGATGGTATTAAGCAGGCCTTAAATCCAACAAAGAAGAAAGTTATCCCTCTGAAGTCCGCCATAGGCAAGCTCATACAAGGCTGGGCCAAGCAGATGGAATGCTGGTTGTAGCACTTAACTCAGAGTCATAATCCAGTGAGAATGAAATAACAGAAGAAGCACTGAACCTTTCTGTGCTGAAAGAGATTGACAGTGATTCAACCCTTGAAGAGTTAAACAAGGTTCTCTACTCCCTTGCCTCTAGCAAGGCACCTGAAAAAGACAGAATCCTTGCCGAAGTCCTGAAGAGCTGCAAAAGAAACATCATCTCGTGAGTTGTATGAAATCCTATCTCTGCTGAAGAGAGGGTGAAGTACCACAGGACATGAGGGATGCAAACATCGTCACACTCAACAAGAACAAAGGCGATAAAAGTGACTACAATAACTACCGTGGCATCCCTCTCCTTACCGTCATTAAGAAGCTTCTCGCCTGAGTAGCACTGGAGAGGCTCCAGGTTTTGGCGGAGAGAATACCCAGAATTGCAATGTGTTTCCCGAGCCAACAGGTCAACCATTGATATGGTGTTCTCCCTCCGACAGCTGTAACAGAAATGTAGGGAACAATGGCAACCACTCTTCGCAGCCTTCATAGACCTCACGAAGGTTTGCGATACTGGTAAGCAGAGATGTCCATCCAGGCTCATCGGTATTATTAGATCCTTTCCACATGCCACAAGGACATCAAGGACACTGGATTTGACGGCTCAACATTAGACCCCTTTGACAATCGAAGTGGAGTAACGAAGAGCTATGACCACTCACTGACCTAATATTTGGTATTTTCTTCGCTTTCCAGCTCAAAACAAGCCTTTGGAGATGTAACAGAGGGCATCCACCTTTGAACCAGGTCAGACGGAAAGCTCTTTAGCCCCTTTTCAGACTAAGAACAAAGTCCCTCTAATCAACAACCACCACCTTGACTTTGGACTCGATCAGCCTGAAAACACACAGGCCATGGCTCAGGTCGTGGTCTTGGAGCACGAGCTGGAGGTTGTCCATGACGTCTTATACCTTGGTTCGACGATCTATGCACCTCCGAGCTAAACAGGCGCATCAGCCAAGCGGATAGTACCACTTCCAGCCTGACCAAGGAGTATGGTCCAACAAGAAGCTGAGGGAAAATACCAAGATCTAGGTCTACAGAACCTACGTTTTGAGCACACTTCTATACAGCACCAAGTTCTGGACTCTTCACGCAAGACAAGAGAGGAAGCTTAACATTTTCAACGTGCGCTGTCTCCGAAGCATGCTTAACCTCACCTGACAGTTCCAAACACACAGTACTGGAGCAAGCTGAAATTCCCAGCATATACACTACTTAAACAGAGACGTTTGCGCTAGCTTGGCCATGTTGTGAGAATGGACGACGGCCGGATCCCAAGGGATCTCTTTAAGGAGAATTAGCTCAGAGAATGTGGCCCACTTACAGACGCTAATTAAGCTTTAAAGAGGTCTGCAAGAGGGACCTGAAGGCCTTGGGAATTGACAACAACGGAGGGGAAACTTTGACTTCAGAAAGTTGATCATGGAGGCCGGCAGTTCAGCAAGACCTTTCCGAGTTTAAAGAGACACTTGCCGGACAGGCTGAGACAAAGAGACACACGAACGAGGAAGGCCCGAAACCAGGGAGATAGACCAGCAATTGACCACATTTGCTCACTGTAAGGAAAGGACTGTCACTCACGAATTGGACAAACCAGCCACACACGACGCTGTTCGAGAATAACCAATCAGATCGCGACACCATAGTCTTTCAAGACTGAAGGATGCCAATGTATGTGTACATGTATGATGTATGTAATGATATCAATCGAATAATGATTATTTTTAACATCACAAATTACCATAGCAACAGGCATAACCTCTTGAAAACCTTTAATCATAACTTAAACACGGTGTTTTTAAAAGAGCTAGGGCACTGTATTCAGAGCTGTCACTTATCATTGCGTTTTTTTCAGAGAATTTGCGGGGCCTTTTGTTTGAGGTCTTTGTTTGATACCTTTACAATTGTAACATCGATGGGTGATGATCGATGAAAGAGGACTTGCGTGCTTGAAAATATGCTGCAAACTGTTTTTAATTTTTTTCAAAGAGATGCGATCCTCGTTTAATCAGTAGTAAAACAAGTTTCAATAATTTACCTTCTCTTCCATCAGTTACGAAGTCGTTAGTCATCAAGACAACACCAGCTTTCTGCAAAGGAAAACAATGAACCACTTTATTTTGTTATACATCGTTTTCTTGGAATGCTTTTTGTAGCCCCATGCCGTACAAGGATCGCTGGTAGTCTTAGCTGCCTTACTCCACAAAGTCGTACTTACATTTTTCAAAAATACACCTTGGGCCTTGTAAATTTGTAGTCACCTTATACAAACGGAGTCTTACTTGGATTGCTTAACGCGGGTTATATATTCTTGCACACCAACCTTAAAAATATCTCTGCTGTCTTTCCCTCCGCCTACACCACATCCCATGTCTAACTCCTCGGCTGCTTTGAAAATCTGTGAGTTGGAATATTTTCTTTTAGCGAGACTACTACGTGAATTATATGTAAATACAGCACCCACACTAAATAGGCCATTTCGAGTTCCCACGGGCCTCTGTATCAAAACTACATAAATGTAGGTTAAGTGCTCAGCCTTTGATATGGAAATGTTTTTCATTCTCAAACTCATTTTCACAATAAAGGTTGTGCACTTGGCCTTATTTTGAAAGTGAGGGTTTTTGGAACTCGGAAGTGGGCCTATTGTCTGATATATATACATAAATATGTCGGAGTTTCATGCCTGTAAAGATTCACACGCTTATTCAATTACCTTTTCCTTTGTGAGCCGGTTGTCGTTTCTTAAGAGGTAAACGCTTTCGTCCACACTCAGAAGGCCAAGCCTTGTCCCTTCAGAGGCCTCGATTTTCAGAATGTATTTTTCACTTGGACGTTTATCAATTCTATTGAGCTGTACACGTGATCCGCGGACTTGAACAAATGCGTCAGGAAAAGTAACCTAGCAAATAAAATGCAATATTCTCAAAAGGCTACTTCATTCTTCGAAAGAGAAATGAGAAATGTTTGTTCTTTGTTTCAAGAAAACTGAATATTATTTAGTCATTTTTGTTATCCACGGGCGCAATTTCGTACCTCAGTGGGAAGGCTGTCCTCCACTTTGAGTAAAATGCTGTCAGCTACTACGTTTCCATTATTATCAATGTAATAGCCAATCAGACGCGCTGATGGAGACATTTGTGAAGTTACACGAAAGGACCAGCTTTTGAAAATGCCGTCAAACAGGTCAGTCGTGTTGTGAGAAAGAATCCGGCCACGTGAAACTACCTAAAAGATATAAGGGCTTAGATTAAAAGGGGCCTGATTACGTAAGGGTTAGGGATTGGCATCGGTAACCGGGACTTTCGAGGAATGGGCCCCAGGGCCAATAAGCATGATCAGTAGGCTAACTCCCACTGTGTCATACAACTAGCTACCCTTAGTTTTATTGGACTTAAGAAGTGAGTAGCTATAAAAGGCCTTTGGAAATTAGGTTTTGATTGATGAAATAAGGGACAGAGAAAACATTACGGAGTCTCTTGATGTTGCAGATAATGTGCATCATCTGATGACGTAATCAAAGGAGAAACTAGGCCACGTGATACAAAACGACGTCTCTATGAAATGATAAATAGGATTTTTTCTAGGTAATTCTACTTCGATGTGGGAGCGAAAAACAAGTAAAACTGATTTCCCCTGACAAGAGGTCGCCTTAACAGCCTAGTAGATAATACTTTTCAAATAGGTCTTACCGCAAATGATAACTTGGCGGCAACGTTATTAAGATTCCTGTAACTTTCACAATGTATTTTGCGACCGACCTGGAAAGTTAAAAGCACAGCTTAGAAGTGGCGGATCCAGGGAGGGGCCCAGGAGGGCCCGCCCACCTATTTTTTAGACCAGACTGAGGCCCGAAGGGCCGAAAAAAAGTTTTTTTTAGAGACCATCCTCCGCCCCCCATCCCCCCCTTTATCTAAGGGTCTGGATGACAAGACTCCCCCTTAACTCAAGGTCTGTATCCGGCACTGCTTAGTACGAAAAATTAAAATGAACGTTTCAAAATGTTTTTGGGTCGGTGGATGCCTAATAATTAAATTATTTGCGCTGCTGTTATTTTTAGAGGCTTTGTTTTCCAGTACGTATACCCTTGTGTTCTATAATGGCCGGAGGACAAAGAAGGTGTCATGAGGAACAACCTTTAAATCAACGCTCCGCTGGTGGCCGCTCTCTGGCTGTTTTCTTTCTAATCTCACGCACTTTTCTCTAACCAATTTTCAATTTTACAGCCGGAGGGCATAAAAAGTTCCTACATGCGTGGCGGCATTCAGGATGTTGGCTAACACTAGGTAGTTTTTTAGATTGCGTGCTGCGTTCTTGAATCGGGACGTAATCTTATGTTAGTTAAAGTTTGGTGGACACACAAACAAACAAAAACAACTGACAAGTTGTTTCGTTTTATGAGACTGAGAAAGGCCTCAGTTGGCGTTTCTTGACAATAGGCATTTCATGTATGTAACGACGTTGGGGTACTTACATCACACTTACTTACATCAATACTTACATCAACTTAATTAAGAACACTGTTTTTATAGCCTGAGAAAACAGTCGACATTTGGCGACGCTACCACTGGTTTCCCTGCCAAATGACGTCTGAGAAACGAGCACAGAAATTCCATACTGATGACGCGTCACAACACAGATTTGGGTAGTGCTTCTGAATGGTCGTACCGCGTGGGAAATTTGATTCAACCAATCAGTAACACTACCCAGATCTGGGTAGTAACGCGTCATCAGTATGGAATTTCTGCGCTCGTTTCTAAGACTTCATTTGGCTGGGAAACCAGTGGTAGCGTCGCCAGATGTCGGCTGTTTTCTCAGGCTACTGTTTTTAACGAATAAGAAATAAATTACCCACGCTATGATATATGGTACGTTACCTTTCCTGGTGAAAGCTGGCGAACCATAAGCAAAGGACCATTCGCAGCATCAAATGGCTCCGCCAGATAATTAGCAACTGCATTCTGAGCTTCATTTAGTCTGCTGTCGTCTGTTTTTACCTAAACTCGACGAAAAAAGAGCTATGGTCTGAACTTATGAACTTGAACTAGAATACCAAGTCATTTGAACGAAATTAATTAAAAAGTCTGCCATCTCATTTTAATAGTAGTAGTATTTATTTCGTTCACAGTATTAACTAGTAGTATTAATTAATAGAAGTAAATTTTAGAAGTAATGGTAAGAATATAAAAAAAAAATAAATTATAAAATATCTACAATATACAATATAATTCAAATATAGCCTAAGCTATCTACTATATAAATCAAAAACATCTTAAAACAAAAGGAATCTCATAACCTATATGCTAACTTAAATAAAAAAGTTTTAAGGGATTGCTTAAAAGTTGCCACTGAAGCACATTTCCTAATCTCTAGAGGTAAATCGTTCCACAATTTAGGTCCTGCAATAGAGAAAGCTCTGTCTCCATATGTTTTCAATCTGCTTCTTGGAACCACTAAATATTCTTTACATGAAGAACGCAATGACCTAGAGTATGTTTTAAAATTCAAAAGGTCTGAAATATAAGAAGGTGCAAGGCCATGAAGGGCCTTGTATACCAATAAAAGGACTTTAAAAGTTATTCTAAACTCAACTGGTAACCAATGAAGATTAATTAAAATAGGAGTTGTATGAACATGCTTCGGTGTCAGTGTGACAACACGAGCTGCAGCATTCTGAACTGCCTGTAGTAGCAGTAGTAGTAGTAGTAGTAGTAGTAGTAGTAGTAGTAGTAGTAGTAGTAGTAGTAGTAGTAGTAGTAGTAGTAGTAGTAGTAGTAGTAGTAGTAGTAGTAGTAGTAGTAGCAGTGGTGGTGGTGCAGTGGTGGCAGTGGCAGCAGTGGTGTGGCAGTGGTGGCAGTGGCGGTGGCGGTGGTGGCAGTGGTGGCGGTGGTGGTGGTGGTGGTAGTGGTAGTGGTAGGTGGTGGTGGTGGTAGCAGTGGTGGTGGTGGTGGTGGTGGTGGTGGTGGTGGTGGTGGTGGTGGTGGTGGTGGTGGTGGTGGTGGTGGTGGTGGTGGTGGTGGTGGTGGTGGCAGTGGTGGTGGTGGCAGTGGTGGCAGTGGTGGCAGTGGTGGCAGGTGCAGTGGTGGCAGTGGTGGCAGTGGTAGTGGTGTAGTGGTGGTGGTAGTGGTGGTGGTGGTGGTAGTAGTAGTAGTAGTAGTAGTAGTAGTAGTAGTAGTAGTAGTAGTAGTAGTAGTAGTAAGTAATAAATAAATTGCTTTATTTGCATGACCGCATCACTTTACAGTATTGCAAAAGCATGTATATGACAATCAAAATAAAAACAAAACAGCACTAATAACAATCTAGAAAAATTCGGTTACATTACTAACAATGAATCACGTATTTTCATGCAGGAGGAGACAAACTTCATAACTAACTTATTTACATGATGTTCCTTCGAATTCATTATCAGTTTTATGCTTTCCGGAGATGATTTCTTGTCAAAGTCAGGTATTATTCGATTGATTTGATTAATAAATGCCTGTCTCTGTACTGAGTATTTGTTACATTGAAAGAGGAAATGAATCTCATCTTCTACCTGATTTGAGTTACATAAAGGACATAATCTATTTTCTCTTGGCAAATGATCGATTTGGTATCGACCATGTTCAATCATAAGTTTGTGATTACTTATTTTAAATTTAACAAAATTCTGTCGTTCGTCATAATGTCTTAGCTGGTAGAGATAATCAGATGTAGAATATTCATCTTTAAAAGTTTTATAAAATTCTAGTTTTTTTGAATTTTCGAGGCTGTGCCGCCAAAAAGATAGATATTTCTCTCTCATTTCTGTGGTATATCGTCTAATTTTATTATTATCTAGAGATTCAGCATCTAAACTGGTTAGATTGTATTGTTCAAGCATGTTTATGAAATTGGAAAAATATCCGGAATTATTCATAGAATGTAGATTCTTTGACATAAGGAAAGACTGTTTGACTATAGAGTCATTATCTTTGTTGTTGAGGTAAACAAAATATTTCATAATTTTCTGATTTATCGGAATAAGCAGCGGCAGTCTATCAAGTTCAGCTCTGCAGGCTATGTTAGAGGCCTTATTGTTAACCTCTAAGTAACGTTTACAGAATTTGAGGTGGATTTTTTCTATTGGGGAGCTTTCCCATTTTTTAAAATCTTGCTTGGTGTACATTCCCCATAGTAGTAGTAGTAGTAGTAGTAGTAGTAGTAGTAGTAGTAGTTGTAGTAGTAGTAGTAGTAGTAGTAGTAGTAGTAGTAGTAGTAGTAGTAGTAGTAGTAGTAGTAGTAGTAGTAGTAGTAGTAGTAGTAGTAGTAGTAGTAGTAGTAGTAGTAGTAGTAGTAGTAGTAGTAGTAGTAGTAGTAGTAGTAGTAGTAGTAGTAGTAGTAGTAGTAGTAGTAATAAATAAATTGCTTTATTTGCATGACCGCATCATTTTACAGTATTGCAAAAGCATGTATATGACAATCAAAATATAAAATAAAACAGCACTAATAATAATCTAGAAAAATTCGGTTACATTACTAACAATGAATCACGTATTTTCATGCAGGAAGAAACAAACTTCATAACTAACTTATTTACATGATGTTCCTTCGAATTCATTATCAGTTTTATGCTTTCTGGAGATGATTTCTTGTCAAAGTCAGGTATTATTAGATTGATTTGATTAATAGTAGTAGTAGTAGTAGTAGTAGTAGTAGTAGTAGTAGTAGTAGTAGTAGTAGTAGTAGTAGTAGTAGTAGTAGTAGTAGAGCAGCAGTAGTGGTGGTAGTAGTGGTGGTGGTGGTGGTGGTAGCAGCAGCAGTGGTGCTGGTGGTGGTGGTGGCGTGGTGGTGGTGGTAGTGGTGGTGTGGTGGTGGCAGCAGCAGTGGCAGCAGCAGCAGCAGCAGCAGCAGCAGCAGCAGCAGTGGTGCATGTGCAGCAGCAGCAGCAGGTGGTGGCAGCAGCAGTGCAGCAGGTGGCAGTGGTAGCAGTAGTGGTAGTAGTGGTGGTGGTGAGTAGTGGTGCAGCAGTGGTGGTGCTAGTAGTGAGTAGTAGTAGTGGTGGTGGTGGTGGTGGTGGTAGTGTTGTGGTGTTGTGGCTGCTGGTGCTGGCGGTGGTGTGGTGGTAGGTAGGTGGTGGTAGTGGTAGTGGTGGTGGTGGTGGTGGTGGTAGTGGTGGTGGTGGTGTAGTAGTAGTAGTAGTGGTGGTGGTGGTAGTGAGTGAGTAGTGGTGGTGGTGTAGTGTGGTGGTGGTGGTGGTGGTGTGGTAGTGGTGGTGGTGTGTAGGTGGTGTGGTAGTGGTGGTTTAGTGGTGGTGTAGTGGTGGTTTAGTGGTGGTGGTAGTGTAGTAGTGGTAGTAGTGGTAATGGTAGTGGTAGTAGTGGTAGTAGTAGTGTAGTAGTAGTAGTAGTAGTAGTAGTAGTAGTAGTAGTAGTAGTAGTAGTAGTAGTAGTAGTAGTAGTAGTAGTAGTAGTAGTAGTAGTAGTAGTAGTAGTAGTAGTAACCCAAATTTCCAGAATTTTTGGCTGAATAGAAAGCGCCATGATGTTCTATGTACCTGAACCGTGATGGCCTTGCAGTTAGAGCATGCATCTACAACAAACTCGGCTTCTCCGTGTTCATCCGTGTTGTCCCTCACGTTGGGATCTCTGTCAAACCTTTTAAGGTCTATCATTACATTGCCTTGTTTTCCCTTAGCTGATATCAGCATTGGCACATTCCCGGCCGGTTGTTTATTTGGGTAGGTCACTTTAACCTATAAAGGTAAATTACAGTTGTTATGTTTGGTTGTCCTGTGAATTTACTCTTATAACATAAATCAGCTCCTTGCAGTTAAACTATCACTTGTGACAAAAACACCTTGCTGGAGACCACGAGACGTAGTAAGACAATAAAAATAAGAGAGGGAGGGGGAGAATGGGGAGAGAGGGGGAGGGAGAGAGAGAGAGATTACATCATTTAAAAAGCTAATTTCCTTTCTTTTCAAGGTCCTACTGCTCTCCAGCAAGAAGTATTGTACCATGTGACTGACCAGCATGTGACTTTCTAATCATGTTTTATGTTGGTTGACTGGAGAATAAACTGTTGAAAGCAGATGTGTGTTTCTCCATCTCTGTATGTCATAATTCAGACAGCTGCTACTGACACTCAGGATAAGGCAATAATTGACTGCTACAATAACATACCTTAACGACATAACGAAGTCCAGGTTTGAAGTACTTCGGAGTGTTAATGTATTCAATAAGGTAAGGACTTGATGTAAATTGACAAGATCTATCCTCGGCAGTTTCTTTATTGCCAGTCGCCCGTTCTATGACGTCCACTTTTACTTGAAGTCTGCCTTTTTCAGGGAACCAAATTCCTGGAAGTTGTTTGATGACCTGAACTCGTTGTCTGAAGGTTGTTACACCAGATCTGTCCAACTACATCAGGTGAAAACAAAATGATTTAGTTACCTCTTAAATTAAAAGAGCAATAATGTTAAAGTTCTTTGCTCGTTATGAATGTATGCGAAAAGTACTGAATAGACAATGAACTTCAAACAACACGAACTCCTCGGCGGATTCTTGAATATTTTTTAATAGAATAATCAAACCAAAGATACCCCAAGCTCACGAGTGAGAATCGTTGTTGCATAACAGAAATATTAATGAGGTTTTTATGGGGATTTTAGCGATCGTTATTTAGGGGTAAAAAGTAGCAATAAAAATACATCAATACTTCCTACCTTAGTGTTTTTGTTATGGTGTGTTCTAAACACAATTCCAGCGAGTTTTAGTTCTGCCGTTGTTTTTTAAATTGTACTCTATATATAATACAGAGGGATTAATGATATGGAGAGAACATCAAGGCAGGTATATTGCGCTGCAAAAGTAAAAAGATGCTAAGAACGCACCATAAATAAAACAAAAATAAGGTTTTTTTAAGGTAAAAAAAAAAACAAAAAACAAAAAAGCAAAAATAAGGTAAGAGCTCTGATTTATTTTTATTTAATTGCTATTTTTGACCTCTAGATAACCATCGCTAAAATCCCCACACAAACCGTACATTTTTATTATGCCACAACGATTCTCTCTCATTAAATAAGGGTACCTGTGGTTAAACTTTCCGCATCTGTAACTACTTCTCGTTAGTGACTGCCTATCCAACATGATATAAAAAACTGCTTCCCAATGGCCTGATTCCAGTCAATGCACAATGCGTTCGTACGGGACCTCCAACCGTGAGGAACCACTGAATCTTTGTCCCATTGTAAGGTAATCCAGATTCCGGAATCCGTAAAATTTTCGCTTGTGGAATGTGGAACCCTGGGCTATTGAATTCGAAATTCATCTCAGGTGCCAGTTGCTCAAACGTTGGATGGCGCTATCCACCGAATAAATAACTATCCAGCGGGTGAAAATCATGGAAACCAATTGCGTTTTCCACTGGCATGAATACAGATTTATCCAGTGGATAGCGCTATCCACCTTTTGAACAACTGGGGGCTGACCATGAAATCCGTAATTTTGCTAACGATTGGAATTTTAGAATTCGGAATCCAGGAGACTGGATATCGAGTACCTGCAGTCCGGAATCCACAGCGTGGAATCCAGAATCCAAGGCTGTCTTAGATTACCTTACATGTGGCGAAATCTTTGAATTTTGGTTGGTGGAGGTTCGACTTTCTGTATTCTTCAATAGAGTTTGACTAATTTAAAAGAGAAGTGTTTGCTTCAACAAAACAATATGGAATTGTCTTTGCTATAGAAGAGTACCATAATGATATGTCTTCCAAAGGGAATAGTTCCATTCCGTCCAACGATGCTCAAATACACAGTAGCGGTGCCAATAACTGGCTTTCCAAATGTGTAACTGAAAGGAAAAAAGAATACATACTGAGTCATCTGGACAACAATTATTGAATATTGGTGGCGCAAGGGTAATACACAGTGGTTACGTAACGAGAGCACGATTCTAATCTCGAGTTTACACCATGGGTTGAGTTTGTTGTTTTCTTCCTCCCTTGGTCCGAGGGGAGTTTCCTCGTGTTAGTTGGCGTTTATTCCTCTCCTCATCAGAAGAAACCCAACGTAACATTTTTAAAATCCAATTCTACTCGGGACAACAGATGGTCCCTCGGAACCACTCCGCAGATGTGTTACCACTCAAACTTTATCGGCATTTACCTATAAGTTTTATTTATTTATTTATTTATCTATTTATTAATATGAAAGTAGTAACAATTCCAATGCATCATTCATACCGTGTTGTCATGCCTATTCTGATCAAGTTGTCAGAATTGAGGATGTACGGTGGCACCGTGAGTTTAACCGAAAACTTTGGAAGAACTACAATAAAATAAAATTAAAAATTAGAATGTGCAAAAATGGAAAGCTGGCCAACTTTGAAACAGGACCGCATGTGGTTCATTCTCGATTGAGCCATAAAAGCTTAAAAGTAAAAAAACGATGTATTAAGATTTTATGCATGTCAAGAATTCAATTTGGTATTTAAGCGCCGAAATAATAATAATAATAATAATAACTTTATTTCTATAGCGCTCTTATCCTATGTTCAAGGCGCTTTACAATCATGTAAACAACATTATTGAAAAATATTTACAAATTTACGACCATATCCTAATATATTTACAATGGATAAAAAAGGAAAAATTGAAACTAAAACAACTATTAAACCATATTCATAATGATAAAAAAAGGGAAAAAATTAAAACTAACGCAATATATACAAATTTATAAAAACAATGATCCGTTATCACAGAATTTAGTAAACAAGTACGTCTTAAGTGATCTTTTAAAACTCGAGATGGTGTTGGACTTCCGAATTTCATAGGGTATTAAGTTCCATTCTCTTGGTGCATGAACAGCGAATGCTCTATCTCCGTAGGTCTTGGTATACGATCTAGGTTGCATTAAAAAGTTCATTACTAACAGACCTCAATGATCTAGAATGAGGACGATAATGTAGTTTTTGAGCTAAATAGCTAGGCGATGTCCCATTCAGTGATTTATACACGACGAGCAGAATCTTGAAAATAATACGATATTGAATCGGTAGCCAGTAAAGCGCACACAAAACAGGTGTGATATGCTGAAACTTACTCACTTGCAACACAACTCTAGCCGCTGTGTTTTGTACATACTGCAATCTTTGTAACTGATACTTAGGTAGGCCGTATAATAATGGATTACAGTAATCTAGTTTCGATGTGACAAATGCATGAACAGCAACTTCTGCTGATTCTTTAGTGAAATACTTCCTAATTCTAGATAGGTTCCTGAGATGATAAAATGATGATCTACAGATGCTAGACACATGTGCATGAAAAGACATGTGCTCATCAAAGATAACACCAAGACTCCTAGCCGACTGAGAGGCAGCCACGCTCTCGTCACCAACACATAAGGACTGAAAGGATGGAGAGGGACGATGCTTTGAGTGGATAAGCATAACCTCCGTCTTGTCGTGGTTTAGCTTCAATTCGTTGAGATCCATCCAGCGACATATTGCAGAAACGCAGTTCTCGACCCTCGATTTAGCAGCGTCCACATCCACCGATTTGAATGCAAAGTATAACTGAGTATCGTCGGCGAATAGATGCCATAAGATCTTATCACTTTAGCAAGTGGCGCAGTATACAGAAGGTAGAGAACAGGTCCAAGAACTGAACCTTGGGGAACACCCACGGGAAGATCTCGTACCGTAGAATTCGCCTCATTGATGTTTACAAACTGAGTTCTTTGAGAAAGATAAGAATCGAACCATTGCAGTACAGTTCCTCTGATACCAAATGATTTCTGCAGTCAAAATACCATATTATTATACTTTGGCGCAACACCGAACCAAACATCCGTCCACTATGGCCATAATTCACAACAATACACCAAAAGTTGACAGAAAGCATTAAGACAGACCCACAAGTTGACGTATTTGGCCTCATACATAGGTTATAAATCGTTTAATATTGTGAAAAATAAGGAAAGCATAAATGAAATTCTTGTTACAATGGGAGTTCAAATACATTTTAGTAAAATCCAACTAGTGGTCATTTATCAATGCTGCGTTTTGATTGGTTGAGCTTCTACTAGGCTATAAGTTATAGTCCACTAGTAGCTAAAACCGCCGCCTTTTTGGCGGCAAAAAAGGATTAAAGTCTAGCTTTAACTAGCTAAGGTTGTTGTAGGTTTCAAAACGTTCTTCTTGTATCTGTTAAGTTTTTCCCGTCTTTAGCCCGCGCGGGACTGGTAGAAGAACTACGTCATTTATATGTCGTTGTAATATTATGGTCTGGGACATGTGCTCGCTCGAAAATCTTGAGGTAAAGTTCTAGTCGAGTTCTGTTCGTTTACACGGCCTAAAGTCTTTTCACGTTTCCTTCGAGCCTTCAAATCCTGTAAGTATGTTGTCGCTAAGTATTTTCATCTTTGTTCCTTTTATTCACACTCGTTTTGTTTTTCGTAGTCTAACCAGATCCTTGTAACGAATCTTTGGTCCGAATCTCCTTGGAATAAATTCATATGAACATTTAAGTCTACATTTGCGTTAGAAGGATGTGCTGGTTTCGCTGTGGATCGTCTTGGATTTTCGTCGATTGTGCCATGGATTTATCCGTTCTTTGATTGATTGGTGTTATCGATAATTTGTTTCTTCGCTTGTGGATCGATTGTAGAGGAAGATGGACTTACGTGGGTTGAAAACCAAAACTGTCGACGTCGATGGAGCCGTTCACGAGAGAATTCTTCGCTTAAAGCGTAGTAGGTCCGGTTCAAAGGCGGCCGTCACCAGAAGACAGCGCGAATTACTTGAGCTAATGAAGAGCTCTGACAATGTTGATCAGGTTAGAGCGAAGTTTCTTGATTTAGAAGTAGCTATGAGACATTTTAACGAAGCACATGATAAGTATCACGCTGAGTTGACTGATGAAAGTGCAATTCGGGACTCGATCGAGTATTTTGAATCAGTGAAACGTATGGGAACTGAGGTGTTTCAGTCATTTGAGGTCTGGTTGCAATCTGCTCAGTTTAAGCTCCAAGAAGAATTAGATCTTGCCATCAGTCTTCATCCGGAAGACTCTATCAGTAATATTAGTTCTACGAAATCGAAGTCTGCTGCAAGTTCTAGGAGGCGCAAGTCTAAATCTAGCGCTAGTTCCAGTCTCTCACAGTCAAGCACCGCTTCAAGTGCAAGGCTGAGAGCCTCTGCTAAGAAAGCTGCCTTGTCAGTGGAAGTAGCTGCATTGAAGACACGGCAGGACATTCAGTTAGAAGAACTCTTGTTGAAGCAGAAGAAAGAAAATTTTGAGTTGGAAACTAAGTTAGCAAAGGCCGACGCTGAAGAAAGGGTGTACAGTTATTGTGAGGAGCGACGTCTGTCAACACTGTCAAGTCAGTTACCGACTTTACATGCAACCAAGAAGGAGAGCACCGTGGATATGCCTGAAGGCCAAGAAAGTCACACACTGACACTAGCAGGTCAATTTGCAACTTCCACTCCAGGTCAAGTCGAAGAGAAGGAAACTGTGGAAGCTCCAGTTCATCAGACAGAGGAAAATCAAGAGGTTAAATGCAGTCCACTAAACCCAGACGCCCCTGTATGGAAAGGTTACGGATGCTCACCCTCTGCGATTAATGGTGAAAGTGCTGAAGGTGGATTATTGGAACAACACCTAGATCTAAGTGACAAGAATGTCAGTCACGTGATTGAAGTCCAGAAGATGCAACAACAACAAAATCAACAGCTTCAGGAGTTGCTGAAACAGCACCAGCTTCAAACATTAGCCATGACATTGCCACAGCCTGAAATCTCTGTGTTTTCGGGTGATCCTGTTGAGTACTCTGACTTCGTGCGAGCCTTTGAAAATTTAATAGAGTCAAAGACAAGCAGCCCGAACTCACGTTTGTACTATCTCGTTCAATATACATCAGGAGAAGTGAAGAAGTTAATGCAAAGCTGTTTGTCGATGGATCCCAAAGAAGGCTACAAGACTGCAAGAGCACTCCTTAAGGATAGATATGGTCAAAGCTACAAAATAGCAACTGCCCTCATTGATCGAGTAACGAAAACTCCTCAGATTAAGTCAGATGATGGTCCTGCCTTGCAAAGGTACTCGGTTGTACTTACAAGTTGTAAGAACTCTCTCAAGGAAATTGGATACCTAAACAAAATTGAAAACCCTGACACTCTCCAAAGGATCATTGGAAGGTTGCCACTTAGGCTAAGACAGAGATGGAGAGAAAAGGCTGATTACATCAATGAAGAGCTGAAAAGAGAGGTCACTATCGGAGATGTTGCAGAATTTGTTGAAGCAAAGGCTAGAATAGCCAACCATCCAGTGTTTGGGGACATACACTCGAATGATGACAAGAACAACGCTGTAGGCATTGGTTCCAAAAGAAGGTACAGAACACCATCAAAGGAGCACAAAGGTTCTGCTTTCACGACACAAGGAACCACCCCGGAAAGTACTACTGACCCACCTAAGGACAACACTGAACGTGCGCCTGACAAGTCGAACGTCAAGTGCCCATTGTGTAAGGAGAGTCATTGGCTGTCACGCTGCCAGCTTTTCAGAGGAAAGTCGGTTGATGAGCGAATTAGTTTTGTGCGTAGTAGAGGACTGTGTGATAATTGTCTTGTTGCGGGACACATGGCGATGTCGTGCCCCAAGAAAAGCTTCTGCCAGATTGTCGGATGTAAGATAGGTCATCGGAAACATTCTACGTTCTTACACCCAAAGAATGACAAACCAGTCAAAGCACCAACTCCATCAGTATCTGAGACCCAGTCGAGCAACACGGAGAATGAGAATCAGAATGGCCAAGCCCGAAGCTGTTTCACTGAAATGGTAGCATGTGAAGGAGTGTGTGTAGTGCGACTGGGGCCGGAGCATCAGCTACAGGACTTGCCATAGTTCCAGTTAATGTCAGAGCCGAGGGAAGGGAGAAGATGGTTCAAACCTACGCGTTTCTGGATCCAGGGTCGAACACTACATTTTGCACTGACAAGTTGATAGAACGTCTAGGTGCAACAGGTAGAAAAGCGATGCTGTCTTTAACTACCATGGATAGTGATAATGTTAAGAGTGAAAGTCTAGTGGTCAATTTGGAAGTTTCTGATCTACAAGGACGTAATGTCGTTGAACTGTCAAATGTTTTCTCACGAGTCAAGCTTCCAGTCACCGTTGATGATATCCCGGTTCAAAGTGATGTGGAAAGGTGGTTCTACCTGAAAGATATCGACTTACCTTGCATTGATGCCGACATCGAATTGCTCATAGGTAGTGATGTGCCCGAACTTCTTGAACCTCATGAAGTGCAGAGAAGTGAAGATGGTGGTCCTTATGCCGTGCGAACACTGCTAGGATGGACCATCAATGGCCCACTCGGTAGGGCAAGTAAGGCAGCCCGTACTTCAAACCGTATTCAGTCTCATGTTGTCTTGGACCAGCAGTTTGTACGTTTCTGTGAAATGGAATTTAATGATTCGCAGTTCAGCATTGAGAAAGGATTGTCTCAAGATGACAAGAGAGCCCTTGCCATAATGGAGGATTCTGCTGAGCTCCGCGATGGTCATTACGAAGTTGCGCTTCCTTGGAAGGTCTTCCCTCCAGATCTGCCCAACAACAAGATCGTCGCTGAACATCGTCTTGGGTTGCTGAAGAAGAGGCTGCTGAAGGATCCCCAACTACACCGGAAGTATTCTTTATTTATGGATGACTTGTTTGACAAAGGACATGCACAGAAAGTTCCTGACGGTCAGCGAGAGGATTCACCCTCATGGTATCTACCTCATCACCCCGTCATTCACCCACAAAAGCCCGACAAGGTCCGGGTGGTCTTTGACTGTGCCGCAAAATTCCAGAATGTCTCGCTCAATCAACAGATTTTGCAAGGACCTGATTTAACCAACTCGCTCATTGGAGTCCTAACAAGATTTAGAGAACAGCCCATAGCCATCATGGCTGACATTGAGAAGATGTTTTATCAAGTGCGCGTACCAATAGAGGATAGCAGGTACCTCCGTTTCCTGTGGTGGCCGAGTGGTGAAATGGACAAAGAACCAGAAGAATTTCAAATGCTAGTTCACCTTTTCGGGGGAGTTTCATCTCCCAGTTGTGCGAATTATGCACTGCAGAAAACGGCTGAAGACAATGCGGAACATTTTGATAAAGACACCATTCAGACGGTGAGAAGAAATTTCTATGTTGATGACTGCTTGAAGTCTGTGGAAGATAACCAACAGGCAAGTCGACTGGTCGATCAGCTACGTCAGTTGCTGGCCAAAGGAGGTTTCCGCTTAACGAAATGGGTTTCAAATGCCTACGATGTCATCCAGTCAGTCCCAGTATCCGAGAGAGCCAGTTCGGTCAAAGAGCTCGATCTCGAGAACTTGCCTGTTGAGCGTGCCCTCGGCATTCTGTGGGATGTCCAGTCAGATACCTTCCGTTTTAAGATTGCAGTGAAGGACCGACCCCAACGAGGAGGGGTATTCTTTCCGTCATAAGCTCAATTTATGACCCTCTAGGGTTTGTTGCACCATTAATTCTGCCTGCGAAAGCAATTCTGCGTGATCTGTGCCGGAAGGGATTGGATTGGGATGATAGAATTCCCCTTGAAGATTTAAAGCGTTGGCAAGATTGGTTGCAGGAACTTCCAAAACTCGAACAGTTCGCCGTTGAACGTTGTTTAAGGCCCAAGAACTTTGGCCGCATAGTGTCTAGCCAACTTCACAATTTCTCAGACGCATCAGGTGAAGGTTATGGTGCTGTTACTTATCTTCGAGTCGTCAATGAAGCTGGAAATGTCCATTGTGCCTTTTTGATGGGGAAGTCGAGACAAACACCCCAGAAGTCAGTTACTATTCCTCGTCTGGAGCTTTCAGCTGCTGTGGTTGCCACCAGATTGAACAAGATGATGCAACATGAGTTGGATGTAGCACTAGAAGAAGAGTTCTTTTGGACGGACAGCACGTGCGTGTTGAGCTATATTACGAACAAAGAGAAGAGATTTCAGACGTTCGTCGCGAACAGAATTACAACAATCCATGAAGGATCGCGACCAGATCAGTGGAACTATGTTGACACAGATTCCAACCCAGCTGACGATGCGTCCAGAGGGCTTTCAGCTGAAGACATCATCCACCAAAGCCGCTGGATTAATGGCCCTCCTTTTTGTGGGAAGCAGAGGACCGCTGGCCTAAGCGACCTGAAATTTCTGTGGAAATAAAGGAAGATGATCCTGAGGTGAAACGGGAAAGGAAAACTTTCGCAGTAGCGTCTACAGTTGAAGCTGACTTCTTAAACCGAGTAGTGCAGTCCTGTTCCTCGTGGTATAAGCTTAAGAAATTGATGGCATGGATCTTGCGTTATCGTTCTAATCTTCTGCGCGAGTGTCGCAGGCGGAAGGAAGGCACAGCTAAAGTACTCGTCTCCGAAATACCCAGTCCCATCAGTGTAGAAGAAATGCACTCTGCTGAGATAGAAGTCTTGAAGTATGTACAAAGGCAATGCTTTAGAGAAGAGTTGGTGTGTCTGCAAGGTAAAGAATCAAAAGTTGAGCTCAAGAAATCAGTCCGAGCCAGAAGAACAGGTTCCGTCAAGAAATCAAGTTCAATCGCCAAGTTGGATCCTGAGTTGCGCGATGACCTGCTGTGTGTGGGAGGAAGATTGAGGCATGCACCAATTGAACAGGAGCAAAGACACCCTGTAATACTGCCTAAGAAACATCATGTTGTAGATTTGATCGTCAGGCATTATCACTTGCTTTCTGGGCATTCTGGTCAAGAATATGTGCTCTCTTTGATCAGAAAGAGTTACTGGATTATCAAAGGAAGAGTCGCGGTGAGAAGAGTTGTAAACCGTTGTTTTAGCTGTAGGCGAAGACAGGCTCCGTTTAAAACTCAGAAGATGGCCGATCTTCCTGCTGACAGAGTCACACCTAACAAACCCCCGTTCAGTTTTGTAGGCGTTGATTGTTTCGGTCCGTTTTGGGTCAAGAGGGCTAGAAGTCAAGTTAAGCGTTATGGAGTCTTGTACACGTGTTTGGCGACCAGAGCCATACACTTGGAAGTCGCCCAGAGTATGGACACTGATTCGTTCTTGAACTCCATGCGCCGCTTTATCGCAAGGCGAGGTGTTCCTGAAGTAATGAGGTCGGACAACGGCTCAAATTTTGTTGGCGGGTGCAAGGAACTCCGAGAAGCTATCTCTGGTTGGAACAAGAGTCAGATCCATGAGTTCCTCTTGCAAAGAAATGTCAAGTGGCTGTTTAACCCACCATCGGGGTCCCATTTCGGTGGCGTGTGGGAACGTTGTATAAGAACTGTCAGAAAGATTCTTGTTGCACTTATGAAGGAACAGCCGCTGGATGATGAAGGGTTGACTACCCTCATGTGTGAAGTGGAGTCAATTGTTAATGGGCGTCCCATAACGAAGTCATCTGATGACCCGTCAGATTCTGAAGCTCTCACGCCGAGTCATTTGCTGTTGCTACGGTCAGGCCCAAGACTTCCCCCAGGTGTGTTCAGGAAAGAGGATGGCTATTCCCGAAGAAGATGGCGCCAAGTTCAATATTTAGCCGACGTGTTTTGGCGTAGATGGATTAGAGAGTACTTGCCACAGTTGCAAGAGAGGCAGAAATGGACTTATCCGTCAAGGAACTTCGCCGTTGATGACATAGTACTTGTGGTCGACGATAGAGTACCGAGATCATCTTGGCCTCTTGGTCGGATTATCAGTGTGCGCAAGAACAGCACTGATGAACATGTGAGGAGTGTAACGGTGAAGACCAGAACCTCGCAATATGATCGCCCTGTCGATAAGATCGTTCTCCTGGAGTCAGTGGAGATGTCAGAGGGAATGAAGCAGTGCTGAACTGAACTATGATCCGAACTTTGTATATGTTTGGAGAACTGTTAGATTTAACGTTTTGTTTCGGTCAAGTTTCCTTTAAAATCCTTTGCTATTGCCTACGATTTTAGGGGCCGGAATGTAGGTTTCAAAACGTTCTTCTTGTATCTGTTAAGTTTTTCCCGTCTTTAGCCCGCGCGGGACTGGTAGAAGAACTACGTCATTTATATGTCGTTGTAATATTATGGTCTGGGACATGTGCTCGCTCGAAAATCTTGAGGTAAAGTTCTAGTCGAGTTCTGTTCGTTTACACGGCCTAAAGTCTTTTCACGTTTCCTTCGAGCCTTCAAATCCTGTAAGTATGTTGTCGCTAAGTATTTTCATCTTTGTTCCTTTTATTCACACTCGTTTTGTTTTTCGTAGTCTAACCAGATCCTTGTAACGAATCTTTGGTCCGAATCTCCTTGGAATAAATTCATATGAACATTTAAGTCTACAGTTGTTTTACATCGATATTTTTGACCAACTAGTTGCTTTTTACTAAAACAATTATCCTCTCGTCCTCATGGCCTCTGAGTCAATAGCCCATGAGGCCGAAGGCCGAATGGGCCATTGACTCAGAGCCCATTCGGGCTAGAGGAATAATTTTTAAGTATCGACCTTGGGATCCCTGTGAAAAAGACTTCATTAGTTACCGTATTCCTTTACTTCGAACTGCACAGAAGTATTATGAATATCCTAGAAGAAAAGAAGCAAAGTACAATAAAAATAGAATGGAGCAATTGAATTAACAAAACGCTTACAGGGAAGTAATGGTCATACATATAAAAGCAATAACATTTCTTGCCATTCTCTAAGTAAGCGTTGTCTTGGAAGCACTATTAACAGTAGTCTGCTACACAACCGTTTTTAGTGTCGTCACGCAACGTTCCTTCTCCTCCCGTTCCTTTTGGGGAGGAGCGTTGCGTGACGACACTGAAAACGGCTGAGTAGCAGACTAGCACTGTAGGGGTACCCTATCACTTCTTTTATTGGCCATTAAGACAGTTTTACAGGGAACTGTGGTGTTTCTTCGCGGTGTTGTGGAAACTATTGTTGGTTCACTTTTGTTTTGTGCTGTGGCTGAGTTCATACAAAAAATTGCAACCATTTTTCAAGGACTTTTCAAGGACCACTTACTAGGAATATAATTTCACAGATTGTACGAAAATGCACATTCCCAGACCATTCTAATAAGACTCTAAGGCTTTCACTGTTTGCTTCATCAACTTCTCAACATTTTTCAGTTCACTTGCCTTAAATTGATAGTTAATTATTGCGTAAAACATGGAGCACTTTATGTATAACCTTTGAATTCTCTGAGCTATGATTTATATTCCATCTTGGACAACCAAAAAGCATAAAAAAAACTCTTTCCAGGCCACTACATTCAAAGCTGAAAAAAATTCAAGGACTTTTCAAGGACATCTCCTAAAATTCAAGGACTTTTGAAGACTGTGTGAACCCTGCGTGGGTTTTATCCAGTGTCGTTTGAATCCTTTTTGAAATACTTCATTTGGCGATCGGATCCGTGCACAACACCAAGAAACAACTGGAAACTGAGTCAACAATCGGCGACAGTAATTGTTGAGACTTTGTACTCAAATAGGGTCATTTCAGAGGACAAAAGAATGCACAACCCTCCCCCCTCCCCTCCATACAAAGTTGGGGTGTTTGTTGTTTTCCGCAGGTAGCTCGAACAGTGGCACAAACATTGCATGGAGGGGATGGGGGAGGAAAAGCTTTACAGTTCCCCTCAGTTTAAAGTCGGTTACACGTCAAAAAGCCTCTCTCGGGTAAAGTAAGTCAACTAATTTTGTCGCAATTGAAGATTGACTCACCCACTTGAATCGCATGGTGCAATTCAACACGACATCCACCCAGTACCAGTTAACCTCAAAATATACAACTATCCCTCAAAGGGTAGGAGAATATCATGGATATATACCTCGACGTTTCACCTCTTGGTATACATACGTGAGATAGGGGAGTTAGTTGCTTTAATATTTACCATATTAGTTGGAAAAAAATGAAAAAGTTATGTTTGTAAATAAAAGGTGTCACTTAGTATGAACATTGTCTACGTTTTAATTGATCGTGTTTCAATGCTTTGTCGAGTGATTTTTACCGAGCTTTTTAGAAATTTCAATAAAAATCGCACACTAGAACAGTGAATAGCCAAGGATAGTCCGAGTTACGGAAGCCAATCAAAACGCGCGAAAACTCCTAGCCATTGATTTGGAAAATACTTATGGCAATTACCTGCGCGCAAACGGCTCTTATTTAATAGAGAGATTAAGATTCACGTTTACGGCACACGGCAAACGGCAAACGTCAGTTGAGAATTTCTCAGAATAGAAAATAAGCAGGTAAAAACAGTCCAGAACGATTCTTGTGGACAAAACTGGCATAAAACTACTTATTTTTGTGTAGAAGCAATAAACAGTAAACGAAAAATATTTGAAAAACCTGGTCACGTGGTACAAATTCACGTTTGCCGTTTGGCGTAAACATGAATCTTAATCTCTCTAATTTCTCTTACTTCACGCGGAAAAGGGAAGTCTTGCGCGCGCGCGTTTACGTGTTTTGTCTTCTTAAGGTAGGCTTCTTGTAGCACAGGCAGCCCAAGTTCAGTATGAGAGTGTAATCATTAATACGTGTGGTCTCGAATTGCGATTTCTTTTACCCCCTGAGTTTCTTCTACGGACCACACGTATTTTAATGATTAAAATGATTTAACTCTCATACTGAGCTTGTGCTGCATGTGCTCGTAGTGGTGGATCGACTTACCTTATGTCCGTAGGTAGCTGTTATCGTCCAGTTACCCAAAAGGACAAAGTCTTGTAAATCTAAGATCCTTGATATAATTCCTGAATGAAAAACCCAAGTACAAAGGTCAGGAGCAATTATATACAACACCAAAGAATCCGTGTTATAATCACTACTTTATGTTTCATGAAATTAACTTTTGCTCTGCGTTTAGAAAAGAAAATTTAGCAATATCTGGATTATTATACGAAAAAGGCTAATAAATTCTTGGTAAGACTAATTCAATGGAATTGTTATCAAACTTAATGTCTAATTCATTCACCAATAGGGAACACCTTGATCCGAATGTTTGGAACTTTTATCTTCCTAACCCCACTGTTGTTAATTCAAAGGAAGGGCTGGGGTATAACACTTAAGTTTGCTTAATAGTTATGTAATGGATATAATAGCGCTATCCAACTTTCGAACAATCGCCTGTTATTATTTATTTACACACAGACAAATCCTGCCAATGAAAACCCCTATGATTATAGTTTTACAAAGGATAACCGAAACTTCAGTTGTCAGGGCAAGTGGATGAAAGGACTATAACGGAATGAATTGACCGAGGCTGGGGTTCATTGTGGATCGGTGTAAGTAACTCCCATTGTTCTAAGCCTAAACTCCATGTAATCGTCCAGTTCAAGTCGATCGGCCAAGCCCTCCCTAAAATATGGTCAGGCAATTGCCAGTCGTCTTTTCTTTCCTCCAAAATTCAATGCTTCGAGTAGAGGTAGAGATACTAGATAGAGATAGTTAGATAACGCGGACGATTATATGGACACTAGCTGGCTTTATGTTAAATGGTATTTGCGTTGTTCAGCATGATTTCTTCAAATAAGGGACAAAGGTTTGTCAAATCCAGCCTCGCTTTCGCTCAAAGGCTTGGGCCATGGTACTGAGCAAGCAAACAAAAATGTTGGTGAATAAATATGAAGGAAGCCAAATCAAACCTGTGCTTGGGTCTAGGTCCTTCCACTGTTGAACTCTGATTCCTTGCGGATTCTGTAGGTGGCCAGCAAATCAAATTATTAAAACGCAATAAAGCAAGGAATTCAACTGAATGAAATCGCAAGAAAACAAACCCATTAACAAAGGAATAGTAATAAAAAAGGGACTCACCTGAACCACAACGGTAATCTATTGAAAAATGAAAGACAAGACATAATCCCGCATTAGATTATCCAATATCATAGTATAATTATAGAGTTAGCCAGGGCTAAAAGCGAAGTTCTCGTTAATATACTTAATTATTAAATAATAATTAATAATTTATTATTATATTTATACTTATAATTTACTCAAACAATAAAATCGTGTAGTGCTCAGCGGCGACGGCAACGAGAACGACAAAAAAATCAACAGGTCTACTTAGCAAAAAACACAATTTTGTACGCGCAGCACACTTTTTCGAACATTTATTTGCCGTTATTGTTGCAACATGAAACTTCCTAGTTACACATTTTATTGTGCTCACAAAAATTTTGCTGCTTGTGTTCCTGTTCGCCATTTTTTCACAGCCGCTCATTTTCACCTTGATGCCCGTTAGCATTTCTCATTTTCTCAGCGCCGCTATGAACTTTTCATGTTGTTCTTCCAACGAAATTCGCCTCCTTTGTATGAATATCTCTCGCTCTAGCTAGCTCTCTGTCGCTCTTTTTCTCGTTGAGCTTCGCTAGCTTGGCGCCTACTTTCTCGTTTTCTCTATCTTCAAAGTTTGGGGACATGACAGAGTTAACCTAAGCTTAATACTCGAGATAACACGGATACAGAAACAGTTTCCGCTTTCTGTTTTGCCTTTATTGACTCTTTAATTAGGGAGCTTAAGCAACGACGACGGCAACAGCAGCAAAAGGCGTCACCTGAAAACTGAATTCGCGCTGTTTCAAACTTTATTGCTCTCATTCAAACTCTTTTAATTTGCTAAATATTGGCAATTTTTTTAGGAGTTGAACTCTAAAGGAATGTCTCTAAGTTCACAACTACCAAAGAAAAAGGAAATAGTTGTTTTACGTTCACGTCCTGTATAAAACGTGAAATTACGAAGTTTCACGTCGTACTCGTGCAGTGTCGGTAAACAAATTTACAAAAACGCGTGATGCACGTGCAGAGTTATTGCTTTACTAATCTAAACCCATTGCCTTTTTGCCGTTGTTGTTGCTTAAGCTCACTGCTGTCTCTGCTTCACAAGGCGAGGGTGGCCACGCTATATCCCGCCAAAAAAAATCTCGAGTTGCATTTGGGTTGCCATACCTGTTGATTGAGTTTTTCTTTTACATATATTGGTATGCTTGTGGTGGGGACTAACGAGAGGGCGGACGGACGGACGAATGTCCACGTGACTACAAGTCACTACCAAAATTTCTCGGATGCATAGATAAGGAAATTTTCTTATCCATGGTGTTCCGCTGCACGCGCATCAAGCGTGCGAGAGCTCCGCAATCATTAAATATCATATATTGAGAATGGACAAGACAAGATTGATCATTGAAACAAAATTTTAAAAAAAGATAAAAAGAAAGACAAAAAAGAAAAAGAAAAAAGAGGCAGACATTGGAATTTTAATCATGATGTTGTGAAGTTAGTAAAACGACTCACCTTTCGTCGTGAAGGTTTCATGTCAAATTCAAGAGGAATTACTCGAAATTTGACTGGAAAGAAATCAAAAAAGTATCAATTGACAAGATTATTTTTAAAACACAACCATTGTAATGAACTGTAATCAGGACTGATCTTTGTTCGTTACTTTTCCTCAACACTGGATCGTACAACTTCACTTTGTCAGAGCGTCAAAGAGGTTTTTAAGGGTCTGCCTCGACGAGTACCTCAATAGCATAAGGCCTCTCCCATCTAGCTAAGGACGACGGAACATCATTTTACAATTGGGTGGGTGGAGGGGGTGTTGACAAGATACTCTCCTCTTGCACTGGAAAGTCTGAAATCTTTCAGAGAAAGGAACGAGGGCGCTCATCAAGCTCCACCCTTCTTGTGAGCATGAGCTTGTGGGTATTTCTACGAAATTTTACAATTTTAGGGTGAAAGATAACATTTTCGTGGAAACTCCCATACGGTTAGCTCTTAAAACCATAGCTAGAACATAGGCCCGTCCACTGGATTTGTCTAGTTTTCTTTTTCTGATTGATGTAAGAAATAAGATATTGTATTTAACTCCTCAGAATACCTAAGTCAAAATTCAACAAAACTAACAATTGTTTAACACGTGGTTGGACGGTCCAACTGCACCACAAGGCGTGACACACTTGCAGTTGTATCTGCCTGTGGTCTTTGCAAGCAATTGCCGCTGCACACGCGTAAAAAATGTGAAAAACTATTAAGAAAAATCAGGCTCGTCGCACTTCTTACCCCTTTGTTTTGGGGTATAGATTGGTTTGTCCGTCTGTATGAACACCATCCCGTCTCGATAGCTCAGAAGAATCTTGGCTTCCTTATGAAACTGATAATGTGCGTCATCCGACTTGGCTACCAGATATACGTACTGTTTATCCACAGACGCGGTATCTGGCAGGTCTCCGGTTTCTACCTATAATATGCGCAAAACTATGATGATTTAACATTGTGAGTGTTCTAAGTGGCTGAAACTAGTAGTTATGAATAATTAGATGCGTTATCGTATAAGCCGTGAGGTCGAGATGAGACGAGGTCGAGGTCAATGAAAAGGACACAACAAAAACTGGCAATTACAAACAACAAAAAAAAAAAGAAGAACGAGGCTGAGGATTCATTACATGTTCAAGAGAACTGGTTTCTTACAGGGCCAACGCGGGGTATCCCCCGAGGGCGAGAACTAAAACCTTCTTACCCGTTTGGGTAACCATTTAGAACACATGCAGGATTCGCTTTATAGTTACCCGCTCGCGGAAGCAGCCATTTCATTTCGATTTGTATTCACTTATACCCACGAGCTGCAGGTTCTGCCGCCAGTAAGTCAGGCGATTACATGTTCTTGCATTTAACTTTTTGTAATTGGAGATAAGCGGCGTATTTTCCAAGTTTTAGTTTTAAATAAATTTGAGTTAATAGATTAAATAAACCCGAATTACGAAAATATCGTGTTTTATTTATAATATCATAGGTGACGAATTACTCCTTAATTTTGGCGCGAAATTTCAGCGTTAATTTGTAATTTCACATGTGAAATTACAAAATTACCATGGCAACCCTTCCGTACGTCTCAGTGTCAAGATGGCGACGAAGTTAAAATGCCGTGAATGAAGATGTCAGGGCACAAAAAGACGCTTTAGAAAACCTGAACACACAAGAGAACATTAAGAAGGATTCTGACAGGTATTTTGTTGAAAAAGTCTGACAAATTCTGAACTTTATAGGCCAAATTTAAGGTCTAAACATTTGACAGAGTGGAGTTCTCGATCGATACGATCCAGTATAAACATGTCAAAAATCCAAGATTGCTAACGTAATTCGCCACCCATGATATTAATAGGTAATCAAATGGTATACTCGTGAAATTAGGGAATAATTTTACTCGTCACCATTTGATTACACATACTAACAAGAATTCCGCCCTTACCTTTACTGGAAGGAAAATATTGCCTCCTAAAAAAGAAAAGAACAATAAAACAAAAACAAACAACATGACATTTTGAAAATTTGCAAAATTGGGGTTATATCGAAATCCTTTAAGGTTAGCAGCACTTGTAACAGTACAGTTGTGTAGTTTAAAGACGAGGACGAAAACTATGATATGAAAGCGGTTGTAAAGCAGCTCCGGTGCTTATGATAAGTTACATGTGGATTTGAACCCCGCCGGATAAATTCAAACAAGAGCAAAAATTCGAAACAAACTTTTCTCATTATTACATTTATTTAAACTTTCATCTTTGTAAGGTACTATGATCTAATTAAACTTTACTGAAAAAGTGAAACATTCCGGCTTTGCGTTTGTATGTATAGAGTAATACAGTTGTTCTGCCCTTAAACGACTACGCATGTCCAGTAGTGTGACAAGATCAAGTATTTTTAAATACTGTGATTGATCTAGTTCTTCCGCTTCTGCTTGCGACTCCGACGACCCAGTTTTCACTTGATCGTAAACGACGGAGTCGTAAGCAGAATCAGAACGCTGTTTTCACTAGATCGTAAACATCTACTCTTCTGATTACGACTGCGACTCCAACTCCCTCCAGGTTTTAAATTTCAGACCTAGTAACTAAATATGTTCAGTTATTTCAATGAATTATTGCTATATTTTTCCTTTTAATTTTAAAATCCTGTTAAATAATTTGAGGCGTTATTTGATTATTTTTACCTTGATCCACTCGTCCTTGAATGCGGGAGAATGTCTTTCGTCTATGTGGGTAGTCCTGTAGATACAACTGTACATTCACAGAGTTCCCAGAGTCAAACAACGTAATCGAGACTTGCTCTTTGACCCCAACATGGAACACATTTGGTGCCATTATAGAAAACCTGCCAAGAGGAAGATAATGAAATTTCAATTTGCTTTCCGAGTCCGACTGATGTTTCAGTTGTGGCTTTGCATGTAACCTGAGATCAGGCGTTATTTTTTATTTTATCTTTTTTTTGGGAGAGGGCATGATCGCAGGCTACTTTGCATGAAGCGAGTCATACAGGAAACCTTTCAAACGCAAAATCAAAAGTCAAAGGAGATATTGCTAGCTTCCGCTTTTGATATCAAATTGATCAAAGAAAACATTGTTTGCTTCCTCTAAAATTAACTTGCACTTAAGCGATGAAACACGGTCACTTTCTTTTCAGGTGTCTGGTTTGCAAGAAACTAAATAAATCTCACTTGATCATGAAGATCTGCACGGCTTCCCAAAAAGTAAAAAACGAAACTCGTCGAACCTCGCACGTTTACTTTTTGAGAAAAACTTAGAAATATTAAACTTTCTATCTATGGCCTTTCGCCTTTTAACTAAACAAAACAGTTATATACACGGCCATTCCGATAGATTTGCTCCTGCAGACTCTACCACTGACTTCACCGAGCCTTTGGGTTTTAAAATCAGAGGGCCACCAACGGAAACCTTTTCAAACTTATTATAACCATTTTTCAACATTTTCCACTTTTTAACTGAACGCAGCCAAACTCGGTGAATAAGCATTTGTCCTTTCCGACTGACGTGATCTAACATTGCCAGCACTTTTCAAGTTCATTAACAACGTAAGTATCCATTTTCAGTCTCATTCAGCAAGTTTTCGCTGATTGCACTCGTGAACAAGAGCCGATTACACATTGACGTCTAAAACGGAATCCAAACAGCAAAATATCACAGTCAATCTGTACAACCTGGTCTCTACCAGCTTACCTTTTGGCTGATAAACACCCCACTGTAATAAGAAGCACAATTATCCGCAATAACGTACTGGGATTTTCTGCCATTGTTGCAGCAAAGCTTTTGAGCACGCAATATCGACGCGTGACTCTCTACTTCCCGTTTAGTGCTGTCTTGACCACCGCAATGACTTGTACTGAACTGAAAACAGGAACGGGTTCTTTATGATACGTTATATTTCGTAATATAATACCAAATGTCGACTTCCCTTTCAGCATTGAGGAATCATATCAGTGCTGAAACGTTGTCAAAAATTGACAAAACAGAGGCGTCGGTAAAGTGCCAATTTTCATCACTTTTTCACGATTTCTTTTCACTTCTTGTAACGGAGGAGCTCACACACTCATGATCACTACTGAGTATTTTGGGAATTGTTTTGGCCTGACAAACTTTCGTTAAACCAAACAAAACAGGAATTTAATGACTGAAATTTTCGTCTCGCTTCGTTTCATGCTGCCTCAACGTAGCAAACGTCCCTTTTCGAGTCCACACCTACAATAAATTGAAGCTTCCTTAATTTCGCCGAACACTTAGCAATAAGAGTCAAAATTTCGCCGCTTTCTCGTCTCAAACGAAACTTAGGAATTTCTTTTCACAGTCTTTTTCAAGATAGCCCTCATTTCTTTATGCACAGTACTTTAACACAAATTCTGAGGAAATTCTGGTTGAACAGTAAGAAGGGATGGAGAGATATGGGTCCGATAGTCTGAACGAGTGTCACAATAAAAGTTTGCGAGTGAGACGCACCAAAACGAAAAAAAAAAACTATAACAACGAATGGGTGGATTAGATGAATAAAAAAAATAACCAGAGTTGTCGGAAGATATTACACTCTCTATCGTTGAGGTCGGCCCCCACGTGTATTGTGACTATTTTTGATCACAGGACTATGCTACGAAGCTGGCGTGATATTCCTTGAGGGTGCTTTGGTTTTCGAAGGAAACGTCAGCCTTCTCCACGCTCTCTTCTGACATTTCCGACTAAGTTGGTTTAACTTAACGGATGTTATTTTTTAGACTCCCGTCGGTGGACCTTTCCCGATTATTGTGATCGGCAACTTTTGAGCGGCTTTTGGCGTCTGGAGCAACTTTTTGCGGTTCTAGCAACCTCGAGCAAATGTTGCCTTTCTGAGCAACTTTTGAGTAAAATATAGGTTTATCAAGCACGAAAAAGTCAACGATTTCATAGAAAACTTCAATTCATGCGAATTTCTTGAATGTTTATCAATTTTTTTTTTAATTCTTAATTTTTTTTGAAATTTGTTTTAAATTAAAAATAGTTAAGTTTCCAGCTATTTTTCTCTACCGATGTTAGTAATTATTGTGAAGAACGAAAAATAATCCTCTCAATTAACGTTTATATAAAAATATCAAGAAATTCAAGTGGCAACTTTTGAAATTTAGCGAGCAACTTTTTAGCTTTTTGGCAATTTTTTAGCAACTTTTTGGCATTCCAGTGAGCAACTTTCCAGCATTTTACGAGCACAATCGGGAAAGGCCTACCGGACGGTTGGGGTTACTCCTTACAGTACAATCGATTGTACATCCCCTAATCCGCCCCAAAGGTGTACCTTGTAAATGTAGAGCACTAAACAGCCGATCGTTTTCGTAATCCAAGTCACACCGTGATTGGTCGAAACTCTTTTAATCTGATATAGTTGTCGTTACAACAGCATCAGTACCGTTTAAGACAAAATTGAAGATACATTTTAGAGACGATACTTGGCTTGGGAGCATCCCCCTACAAACCTTTGGCACCCCCTCCGTCACACTCCCCAACTCCCTGGCTTCCCGGCTCCCCGGCTACCTGTCCTAAGTCTTACTGAGTTAGCGGCAAATCGAGAGAAGATTATGCATGAAACAGTGGCTAACGAACGACACACAAGAATTGCAACTCTAAGAAATAAGAAACAATGTATACGTACTCCTAAAAAAATTAACTGCTTCACTCTTTAAGTCCTAAGCCGAGTAACTGACATAAGCTTTCTCCTAACAACATCCATACATCAACAAGGGAAAATGTTATGAGAATTTATAAAATGATCACCAATAGGAAAATGCTTTGATCTTTTATCAGAGACCAGTCATTTGTTTCTTTTCTCAAACAAAAGTTCTGTGCCGGGACCGTTTCGCAGGGTTGTATAGCGGCAGAAGTGTTCCTTATCAGAGTGCTCTTACCCTTTTCTCTCCAGGCGTAAAAGATTAAACACAATATTAAATTTTTCAAAGCCGCTTTATTGCATACTAAGATGTAGCAACATTTTTTTTCTTTTAACTTTTGCATACTGAGATGTAGCAACATTATTTTTTTTCAACTTTTAGAAAAATCATTTCTACAGCATTTTTTTATCCAGTAAACGCACTGAACTGAACTCAACTCTTTGCCAGAACCAATTTAGCACGTAAATTGTTTAGCGAACTTGTCCAAGCTTTTTTTATCCTTGTTGGCTCGGCTTTTCGGCCACAATTTCGCGAACGAGTTCTTTTCCAGCTCGTATCTCCCTCCCTTCTCACGGCCCATAAACAAATATTCGTTCCTCTTCTTTAGGTCTGGACTGTTGCAGTCTTTGCGCTTCCAAAGCGTGAGTACTTTTCCAACTTTTAATTTCCTGTTGCGTTGCTTGATGATTTTCAGAACTCGTACCAGATACTCTACCATGTTTTTGTATTGGTCAATCAGCAGAACTCGCCCTTTAATTGCTGACAAAATAATGATAATAACTAATTAATGATAGTTATTATAATTATTATTATTATTATTGCTGTTGTTGTTGTTGTTTTTGTTGTTGTTATTGTTGTTTCTGGTCCTAACGTGCTACAAACTGCTTCTTGCACTTTCTTAAAATCGGACCCATTTCTTGGTCCTGAGGTGCCAGAGGGGTATTTTTAATTCGGGATAGACAGAAATTTTCTTAGTTTGCGCCCCATTCCCAAGAGGGTGATCTTTTTCAGGAACATCATCATCATCGTCATCATCATCATCACTATCATCATTATCACTATCATCATCATCGTTATCATCATCATCATCATCATTATTATATTAATCATTATTATATGGCTGAGTCTGTTTTCATCATGCGATTGGTCAATTTGCGGTCGGTAACTTGCTATACGGACCATAATTTCAAAGAAAATGCTCATTTCGGAGCTCTAATTCTCTTTACCTCGGAAAATTAAGGTTGAAACGGAAGTTATAAGGCGTCTATCAACCTTGACTTTGTCCTTCAACATTTAAAACTGTGTTTACTTGTGAACGAAGGCGATGAAGAAACTAACTCGTAATCTTATCGAAGAAGATTCTAGTCAGTGTTTGAAAAAAAAATGTCAAATCCGTGAGCCCCAAAATTAAACATTGCAAATTTTGTAACGCAGGATTATAGTCATATCCTGCACGTATATTTTGTGGGTGTTTTTTGCTGTTCCCACTTTAACAGGAACGTAATTTTGTCTTAATCATTAGGTATAAAGTTAGTTCCTTAGCTCCATGTTGTTATACTCTCTGATGAAGTCTGTGTGATCAGACGAAACCGGTCGGAGAAATAAAATCAAGTAAAAAAGATCTTCGCGTTGCTTTGTGCTGCTCACTAGTGTTCATTTATAAAAATTTTTAAAAAAATTTAAAAATTAAGAATTTTAAAAAATTGTGCCCCAGTCACTATTAAATCGCATAGAAAGTTCATGCCATCTTACCGTAATTGTAATTAAGGCAAGCCATGTTGGTGAACTTGGAGATGTTGCCAATGGGAGGATCTTCCTGAGCACATGGATCTGAGAAACGAAATTTAAAACTTGACGTTAAAGATCCAAGCCTTATTCTCTTGATGAGGTTGCATTTCCTTTTCGCGGCAACAATGAATTAGCATGGATGGTGGCTACGTGAGTGAAAACGCTCTATTTCTTTCAAATTTCGTTATATTTACGTGCATATGTACGCGTTATTCATCAAAAGATTAAGGGGAAATTTCCTATGGGACCATCATTGGAAAAACAAATCATACAGGGGAACACCGATATAACTAGGGGCCAAGGCATTGGCAAATATGTATAATCAGGTTTCGTTATATTGAGGTACATTTCCATGTATTTAAATATAATTGGGATGAAGGAAATCCTTCGTTATACAGAGCACTTCGTTACACAGAGGTTCGTAATATCGAGGTTCCACTATACAAGCTAAAGAGGTCTGTGAAATATTTTAACAATGGCAGGATCAAAATATGAAAGCAACGTCAGTAGTTGTTCTAACTTACCGCTAGCACATTTACAAGATCCGCCGTCGCAAACACCTAAAGACATAGGGCTGTACTTATCTGGCACGTAAAACTTGGTACACGACTCGTCTGCAATGGCAAACAAACAATAACAACAACAACAACATATCAATTGGTATTTTGCCATCGAAATTTAAGACTTTTATTGCAAATTGGCATTTTCCACCCCTGGGGACGAAAACTTGCGCAACTAAAATGTTTGATTTCACCTGGTTCATAGTAGTCGTAGACCTTAATAGGAACCGCCTGCACAACACCCACGTAATAGTCCCGATCAAACTGCACATCCACGCACAGGTCTCGGTCATTTGGAATCTGAGATAACAAAAATAACCAAGGCCGTGTATGTAAGTGAAATTTAGGGCAGCCGTCGATAAAACCAGGAACACGGAACATTCCGGAACAAAAAAATTGAACTAATTTTTATGAAAAAATAATAATAATTATAACAATTTTTTGTAAAAATTTATTGTAACAAAATATATAGCATAACATAACATTACATAAAAAAGAAAAAGAAAGAAAAACAACTGGTATCATCTCTGAGTATGACAAACAATATTTTGTCGCAATTAATATTTGTTAGGCGAGTGAGGGTCCATTCAAATGACTGTCACAGTAAGTGAAGGCTTATCTCTAAATTCAAAATATATTAGCGGAGCTCTCGCGCGCGAAGCGCGCGCAGCCGAGCACCATAGGTAAAAAAATATGGTAAACTACCCATCCGACAAAATTTGGTAATCACGTGACCGTGCACCGCTCGAGAGACCGTCCGTGCCTTCCACAGGCATACCAATGTAAAATAACTCAATCAACAGGTATGGCAACCCAAATGTAACTCGAGGTTATTTTGACGGGAAATCGCATAGCCACCCGCGTCTTGTAAAGCAGAAACAACTAAAGAGTCAAAGAAGAGGAAAATGGAAAGCGGAAATTGTCTCTGTATCCGTGTACCGTACACCGCCCGAGAGACCGTCCGTGCCTACCACAGGCATACCAATGTACAATAACTCAATCAACAGGTATGGCAACCCAAATGCAACTCGAGGTTATTTTGACGGGAAATCGCATAGCCACCCGCGTCTTGTAAAGCAGAAACAACTAAAGTGTCAAAGAAGAGGAAAATGGAAAGCGGAAATTGTTTCGGTATCCGTGTTTTCTAAAGTATTAAGCTTAGATTAATTGTCACGTCCACAAATTTGGAATATAGAGCAAGAAGAAACACAGAGAAAAAGAGAAAGTAGGCGGCAGACCAGCGAAGCTAAACGAGAAAAAGGGCGACAGAGATTTAGAGCGAGAGATAAAAAACAAAGGAGACATTTTTGTGTTGGAAGAACAACATGAAAATTTTGTAACGGCGGTGACAAAATGAGAAATGCAAGCGGCCACCAATGCGAGGTGAAAATGAGCGGCAGTGAAAAAAAAGTGAACGAAAAAAACGTGTAACTAAGAAGTTTCTGGAAGTTTCAAGTTGTAGTCGTGCAAAACAACGGCAAAGAAATGTACAAAAAAAGTGTGCTGCACGTGCAAAGTTGCTTTTTTGCTAATTAAACCTATTGTTGTTGTTTACCGTTCTCCGGCGTTTCCTTCGCTGCTTAGCATTACATGATTTTATATTTTGTTTTAACAAACTATAAATATTATCGAAAGCTTCGCTTTTAGCCCTGGCTAAATCTATATATTAATATGGGTCACGAGGCAATGCGAGGAGGGGGCTTTTCAAGCCGATGGTCTGAAATGTTGGTAAGTATTCCATGTCAAGCCGTAAAGTCGGTAAGTGCTTCATGTCAAGCCAACATTATATAGTCTCCCTATATATAACCGACATTTGCTTACTTGAGGGGCTTTGCTTTCTTGAGGTTGACATTAAGTTCTTACAGACTATGCTCTGCGAACGTTAAAAGACCTACGGGGTGGGGGCGGGGGCTGTCTTTGGATTTAAGAGGACAGTGTTCACATTCCTAGTAGTTTCTATACTATTTTGTTTGTTTGTTTCTTTTGTTCTACCTTGCAAAATAAATTAATCGCGGAGCATTTGGTTCCGTCGTGTCAGTGTCATGTCTGGAGCCGTGAAACAGGCCGAGGAAGTCGGAGCTGGAGATGATACCAGTTTATTTTTATTTATTTTTCGTTTTTATGTCATGTCATTTATTTTGTTATTATTAATTTTTATTTCATTATTATTGTATTTATTTATTTTTCCATGAAAAAATTTCATGAATGTTCCGTGTTCTGGGTTTTATCGACGCCCATTTAGTCAAGGGTTCTAATCTTATAACAATGAATAATCAGGCGTACAATTAAATCCAAGCGAGCTACCCATACGCATAATAACTAGACTTTAGGTTCTTTTTTGTACTGGGCATTGACAGATTCAGCGAACATTAAATAATCGGACCAAATGTGAAGCGTAAATGAATCTGTGAAAGGCAAGTAAGTATAATTGAGGGTCCAAGTATGAGGGTCTACAATAGATTTGGCGGGATGCAGGATTTGGCTGTTTTTTTGTGGTAATACGCGGGATGCGAGCGTAAAACAGGAGCGGGAAGCGGGAATTTTGACAGCGAGCGGGAGCGGGGTTTCCTATTTTTGTGAGCTTGGGATGCAGGAAAAGTAAAGGAACAGTAGCGGGATACGGGAATTTAGTTTTGTCCTGACCACACCGCGTTGACTGAGAAAAGTGGCTCTTTTGTGTGCAGTCCGCCTTTGCGGTTAAGGAATGACAGCTATGAGTGTCAAAGAAAGTGAAGCTTGTCAAATTTACCCATGATCACCTTTGTTCGTTATAATTTCTATTTTCGTCGTTTTCGTCAGTGTCCAGAAGTATTTAATCTCAGAAGTTGGAAGTCACATTCATTTTAAAGAAAGTCGAGCATATTATGTCTTAAGAGACTTCAACGAGTACAGCAGCTATTTTGAAACAAAAAAGAAAAAGAACAACAACAACCAAGCAAGATTTGCTTAATAAGCTAGGATGGCGCCAAAACGCAAGAAGTATTTGCCAAATGATGTTCTCAAGGCACTGTACCTTGAGGATTGGTCCTCCTTATCTTAGGTTGAACAATCGTAACGCCAAAAGGATGCTAATATCATCTAGACCGTTATGTTGCAGGCTGCATTAGAATCAGGGACCTAATCCAAGACAGCCCTGCCAGCGTTTTTAATTCGTTACCACACCCTATCACATTCAGCAACTCCACAGGGTCAGTTGACAAAGAACCTTAAATCTAAGGTGAGGGCAAGGCTGCTTTTTTAGTGACTTTAATTATTGTATTTTACCCAGCTTTGAAGTTTTCGTTTTGTCATCATTTTATTGATTACGATAATTTCACGGAGGTTAGTTATAGTGTTGTAGTTAGCTACAGGTGAACAGCCATATTTCTAGTTTATATATATCCACTTAAGAACCTTAAACTTAAAGCTGCCTATTGCGTGAAGATTAGTCTTATATAACGTCTTTTTCAGTAGTTCAAGCAAGAAAGTCGTGACAAAATTAGGGCGGAATCGGGATTCGTACATAAAAAAGGGTGGGGTAGAGGGATATAAGAAGAAAAATAGGTGGGAAGGCGGGGTATGAGAGCCCCATTACGCAAGAGTTGAGCAAATGACCAACAGTTGAGAACTCCTTTACATTCATGAACAAAAAGGCGTTACAGCATGAAAATAAATCAGTGCGAGCTACACGTACGCATAATAACTAGACTTTAGGTTTTTTTTCGTCCTGGGCATTGACAGAATTAGCGAACATAAAATAATGACCAAATGCGAAGCGTAAGTGAATCTGTGAAAGGCAAATAAGAATAATTTCTGGGAAAGATTTTTTTCATTTCAGTCAAGATACTGAAAACACAAAAAAAGGAGAGAGAGATATCAATATTCCAATATTCCAACATTCAGCCATCTAAAAGAAACTACATGATTCTATAGGAATTTTTCCTGGAAGGACCAACGCTGAAACTCTCAGGCGGGTACAACTTGCCCGCTCGGGTGACCAATCAGAGCACAGGACTCGCTTCGTCTTGCGGAATCAGCCATATAATAATTTCGGTTACTGTTAAAACGATGGGTAGAATAACATGAAAACTGCATCTTTAAATATCAGTAAGTGTCGTTCATTCTTATGTGACTCGACTTACCTGGTCTAGGTATATAAGCAGTGATCTGTCTGACAGTTCGTACCTGTCCAATTCAGGCAAATTATCTTGCAACTGCCAAATAAAATCGAAAGTATATAGTTTAATCCGGTAAGAAGTAGAACTGGACAAATTAAACAGCGCAGATCGGCAAAATGGCGTTATTATGACGCTGAAAAATGCATCCTTGTTACTATGTTTGACGGACGTACTGACCACACTCTCGGCGGTTACTCAACGAAGGTTTAGATGGGGAGGTTTCCTCCCGAAGTCCAACCTCTTACCCCTTTAGCTTTATATACCATTTTTCACCAAAAAAAATACCCCTTTCGTAAACCTTCTACTGACAAATGGTACCCCTTTCACTTACCTTGTTTAGTCTGAGCATTGCATCCCTTTTAACTGCTGTAATTGCATCGCGTTTTTAAAATAAATTTATCACTAAACCAAGAAGTTTTCATATCTCTTTCACATCCATAAAATGCATCTGCTTTTTGATCCTTTTACAAACCGAAATGACAGATATGATTTTCTTAACCCTTTCATAAACTCCAATTAATGAAATCCCTACCATTTCATATACCTGAAGCCTGAAAAAGGTAGCACTTTCGGACGGAGCCTCCCCGTATTGGAAACACGGCTTAGCTTTGAATATATTACCGCCCGCTGACTCAGTTGGAAGAGCGGTCGTCTTCTGAGCGGGAGACATTGGGCCGATTTAGCAACAGAACGAGGAACGTCATTTGACGACGGGAAAGCGCGCGGTAAGGACTAAACTCGACTTCAGGTGCCCAATTTGCTGCTATGCCATTGGTAAAGCCGGTTGCACCGTAATTTTTAGGGAGTTATTATAACTCCAAAAATGGAGTAAAAATTTTAGGTACAGGATAACCCCTTTTTTGGGGTTATTTTAACTCCTAATTTAACTCCGAATTTGGGGTCATTTTTACTCCTGAAAAAGAGTTCTTTTTACTCCCAGTCTTGGAGTTAAAATTACTCCGAAATGGGTTTACTTGTACTCCTTACAGGGGTTGTTTTTACTCTTTTTGGAGTTAATTTAACTCTGAAAGTGGAGTAAAAATTTTAGGTACAGGATAACTCCTTTTTGGGGGTTATTTTAACTCCTCAATATCTGGGGTCACTTTTACTCCTGAAAAAGAGTTCTTTAAACTCCTTTTTGGAGTTAAAATAACTCCACGAAAAATAACTCCACTGTAAGGAGTTAAATTAGCCCCACTAGAGGAGTTATTATAACTCCCTGAAAATTACAATGTGTTTGATTTGCGCTCGCCGTCGTCAACTGATGTTCCCGTTCTGTTGCCAAACCAGCCTAATTGTGATTCAAAGCTTGTTTTAGAAGGTGCGTCATTAGGCAGTGAGATTACGCTGTTGGCAATGTCTCTATCATCTTCACACATCAGTTATAGAAGGTGATGTTAAGGAACCCCTGACATTGTTCAAAACAAGTAGGGGACGTAGACGCCGTTGCCATAGTCTTAGTAGCTGCGCAGTGCAGTTACAGGGCCACCAGTGAGAATACATTTACATTAATTGGTGTTACCCTCTTTAACTATAGGTAATAGTAATATAGGTAATAGACCAATTTCGATGTATTAAAGTTCCTACTTGGCTGCGAGGCTTGGGGGAATAAAACAAAAGAAATTATCTGAAGGCGCAGCAATGATTAATAAATTCTTTTGTTTTATTTCCCAAAGCGTCGGAGCCAAGTACGAGTTTACTTTTAATATATCGAAATTGGTCTATTGCAATAGCCAATTACCTTTCGCAGAGACCTTTGGTCTGGTTTAAACCCTGTTAAAATGCCAATATCCATTAC